TGAAGGAATATTAGGCAAAATAGTTTTCTACATGTATAGACAGTTCATGTGGGGTTTTTATCAGCTTCTACCTGCATATATATATATATATATATACACAAAACCAATCTGCTAGTCTTTCTAGCTTCTTCTTTATTGTGCTTCTAGAAAAACAAAAAACACTGAGAATAAATATTGCACATAAATTTTGCTACTTCAAATATGTATATATATAGTTTTCCATTTATCCTCTTCATGGCTTTTGGACATGCATAGTGTTTTAGGTGAGTTACTGTATTTCTGCAGTCTGAGAGTATGTCTCTTACTACATAGTGGGTAGAAGCAGCAAAACGGAGCAGGATTATATATGCGTCTGTAATTTGGCATTTGATAAATAGTGGGGAAGACACAGGACTGTTTTAAATAGATGTGGGCTGATGCCAGCCTTATTAAGTTCAGCCATGTCAAGTGCAGAGTCCTACACCTGGGTCAGAGCAATCCCAGGCACAGCTACAGGTTGGGCAGAGAAGAGATTCAGAGCAGCCCTGCAGAGGAGGATTTGGGGGTGTTGGTTGATGAGAAACCAAACATGAGCCGGCTTCAGTGTGCGCTCACAGCCCAGAAAGAAACCCTATCCTGGGCTGCATCAAAAGGAGTGTGACCAGCAGGTCGAAGGAGGTGATCCTGCCCCTTTGCTCTCGTGAGACCTCACCTGGAGCATTGTGTGCAGTTCTGGTGTCCTCGACAGAAAAAGGACATGGAACTGTTGGAACAAGTCCAGAGGAGGCCACGAGAATGGTCAGGGGCTGGAGCACCTCCCGTACGAAGACAGGCTGAGGAAGTTGGGGCTGTTCAGCCTGGAGAAGAGAAGCTGCGTGGAGACCTCAGAGCAGCCTTCCAGTATCTGAAGGGGGCCTATAGGGATGCTGGGGAGGGACTCTTCATTAGGGACTGTAGTGACAGGACAAGGGGTAACGGGTTAAAGGTTAAACAGAAGAAGTTTAGATTGGATGTAAGGAGGAAATTCTTTACTGTAAGGGTGGTGAGGCACTGGGATGGGTTGCCCTGGGAAGTTGTGAATGCTCCATCCCTGGCAGTGTTCAAGGCCAGGTTGGACAGAACCCTGGGAGACGTGGTTTAGTGTGAGATGTCCCTGCCCATGGCAGGGGAGTTGGAACTTCATGATCTTAAGGTCCTTTCCAACCCTAACTATTCTATGATTCTGTGGTTTTTAGACAAGTTGTGAGCTATACGAGAATAAGCTTTGCATTCAAATAAGAATACTTGTTCTCATTCTCAGGATAGCTTTGGTACTGTCACTCTAACTTCAGCACTCTGAATGTGCTGACCGCCTTGCTGTCCTGCAGGTGTGCAGTCTCGTACGGCTGGCATTCTTCTGTGTGGATTCTGAGGGTGTGAGGTCCAGCACCTGGGTTGTATTCCCATGTGACAACACAATAGAACTGTGAGAAAAATCTTAGAATAAGCTCTGTACGCCTGTTCCTGAGCAGCAGCCAGAGTGGTTTCAGCCTGGTCACTCCTAACTCTTCATTGGTGTAATCAGTTTGCTTCGTTTCTTCTTCTCCCCAGACCACTGACTTCCGAGGGGATACTGTGCTGCCTTTGTTTTTTTTTTCCTTTTACTGCAGGAAGCCTTCATACCTGCAGAGTTAAGTTCAGTTTTACTGCAGAGCTGTCTGCAAAAGCCACTCACTGTAAACTACTCTTGGTACAAGAGTGATGGTAACAAAGTTTTGTTTGGCTCTTCACTGACGCTTCTGACGGCCAATAATAAAAAATGTGGTGCTGAATGTAAATGGATGCTCTACTAAACTACTGCCATCCCTTGTTGGTCCAAGAATAGAAAACAATTTGCCCTTTTATGTACTGAGGCTGGGGCTTCATAACTGATCACAGTTCTGTAGATAGACTTGGGGAACTACAGTGGTTTTTCAGAACGTTGAGCTAACTTTTGGAATGGGAGGTCAGGATAAGCTTAACGCTGGGAGTTGGGGTCTTCAAAATGAAGGCTGAAACTACCATACTGTTACTATCGTCCCATTTCTTAAAGAGCACTTCCTCTCTCTCTCTCCAAAGCAGTAAAGATGGTGTTTTAAAATCATATGAAGTGTACCGTTAGTGAACTGCTCTCATCAGCTACTTTGTACTGTTAGGATACTGTTAATTATATTTGTTAATGACTTCAGGTCTTAACATGGGGAGCGGAAAACAAATGCTTAACATGTAGGGTAAAGCTGGCCTTGAGAAAGAGCAGGCACAGAACTTTTCATAGAGACTGGTGTGGTATGAATTCAAAGTACCTTCATTTGACAACAGATGGAGATTGGGAAGTAACTAGTTAAACAGTACTTCCCTCCAAAGGAAGTTATCAGAGTAATAGTCCAGAAAAAACTTTTAATATATTACATTGTTCAGTGAATTCCTATCTAATTGCCTTCAGCAATGACTTGGTTTCGTATTGAAAATAACTAGAATAATTGTAATATAGTCTCTTGATTTCTCAAGATACAATTACCCTTTCTCCTCTCTTCTATTCAGCCAAAACAGAGTGGAATATGAAAAGAGGGTTCGAGCACAAGCCAAGAAGTTTGCACCATCATAAGCATCTGTCATGCAGCATCATAAAAAGGAAGGGATTGGTTTGGCAAGAACTTGTTTACAAAACTTTTGCAAAATCTAATGTTGCTATGTACAATTAATATCCACTTAGGGGAGGGGGTTGTATGTGTGCCATTTTCCATATTCGCCACTTGTATACAGTTCTAAATTTGCTGAATTGCCCCCAGTTTTTTCATACAGGGTCTCTTCCTTCAGTCTTTTGTATTTTTGATTGTTATGTAAAACTTGCTTTTATTTTAATATTGATGTCAGTATTTCAACTGCTGTAAAATTACAAACTTTTATACTTCTATAAATTCACTAGTATCTCTAGTTCCTTTGCTCTCTGATGCAGGCATGCTTTAAAATGTTAGAACTATATTTAGCCTCTAGCTGGCTGTATGGAAAAAAAAAAAAAACCACCACAAAAACCATGCCCTCCACCCCCTTCCCTCACTGAATTTGGTTTTGTATCTTTGAGAAACTAGGCCGTTACTGCTTAAGAGCCTCCGAGATCCAAAGTCAGCCAGCATCCTTATTCTGCATCACTTCCTCTGTGTTTATATGGCATTCTGTCTGTGTTGCTGTTTAGAATAAATAAACTGTTTATATAAAGGGCTTTGTTTCATTTATCTTCATTAAAATGATTAAAAGATTGCCATTTAAATGGCTCTGAACACAATTGAGTGCAAGTCCTATTTTTAAGGCCTGTGATGCTGCGCTTACATTTTGCTTAGATGCTGCCCTCATTTGTTTTTCCTGCCTCCAACCCCAAAATGAATGCAGCCCCTCTTTGGGCCCTCAGTGCTAACTTTGAATGCAGAATTCTGATTAGCTAGAGACCAGTTGCTTACTGTGCATAATGAGATCAACATGCTGGTGTGATCACATTAACATAAAATAACACAAGCATTAGACTGATATGAACAGTAACAGAAAGAATGTCCAAGGAATGCAAGGGGACCTACAGCAACCGGGCATTTTAAATGGTACTTGTTTATCAGGAATACTTCTGTGCCTTCTTCCATATGTCAATGTATAGAGCTTTTAGGAAAAGGACATGCATAATGCAATTAAAGTTCCCTTCTGTAAAGGAAAAGTTAAATTATGTAAGTTATTTTCATGTATGTCAATCTGATGTGCCCTCCATTAAACTTTCACTGCTTTTTAATTGCATTTTTTTAGTCAAAATAATTCTGCAAAACGTGAAGTGTGAAAAGTTTTGTTCTGAGTTGTAGCTTCTTCACTGGTTTGTTTTGTTGGTTTGTTTTTTGTTAAAAAAAGGCTGCTGCTGGAGACTCAAATCATTCTGAGTGTGATTCAGGTCTGTTCTCAGGTCTATAGCTCAATTCCGCTTTGTCTGCATTTGATTACGTGATAGCTTTATGACATGGAAGCTTTTCCTAGATCACAGCAGGTAATACCCTCATGTTATTCTTAGTCCTTGGAAAACTGTGTAGGATTATTTCCTTGTCACAATACAGAAATCCTTATTTCAACAGCTGAGTCAGGAGAGACTTCATATGCTTGGGGTGGGAAAGTGAATAACTGGCCACAGCTGAAGGAAAAGTTTGACCATTAAATTAATTTACTTAGGCTTTTTTTTTTTTTTAAGGCAAATGGAATATTTGTACCACTAAAACTGTTGCTGTTCTCCTAATTCTGTCTCAAGTAGGCTTAGAATTGAATCTCTCTAGCAGAAGAGGGGTGAGAGATGAAAATCTTGCTGTGACTTGGAGAGCTTGTATATGTGAAGGTAACACTATAAACTGTCCTCAGTATTACCAATTCTACTCAAAAGTTGCTGAAGTTTAGGTTTAAATAAACTCCAGTAGGGTGCTGGCAACTCAAGAGCATTCCATTTTAATGTACAGAGAAGCCGTAAACAACATACAGTGTTTTGGCACTTTATATTTGGAACTGTACCACAAAATTTCAATTGCTAATAGCTGTACTTTTGCCTGCACACTGGCAGGTATATGGAAAAGTGAACCAAGATACTAGCCCTGATGAGAATCTGACTCGCAGCTTTAAGGAGCATGTAATTCTGCATGCATTTCAGAAATACATTTCAGCATGTACTTCTGACTTGGCAGTGTCACTTCCAACTAATGAGAATGCAGGCAGAGAGCGTTGCTGAACCTGTTACCTGAAATTTTGTGGCACAGTTCTGAATTCCCTGCACAATTAGCTACAACTTAAATAACCTAAAGCCTTTATGTGCACACATGGACCTATAAACCCATGTATAGCCAGAGAAGGCTGAAGGAAGGCATTTGCTAAGCACCAGGTTACAGGTGAACAGGCCACACTGTTAACTGTTCACAAGGAAATGTCTTTATAAAAGATGTTACAACTCTTAGGATTATTGGGGGTTTTTTTGTTTCTTTGTTGGGCTTCTGGTGGGGTTGGTTTGATGATGACTTCTTTTTACTTTTCAAGCGGTTGGTTTACTGGTGGTTATTGCAGCAAGTCTACTGTACCATGATCATCTGGGCTGCTGTCATCACTGCTTTCAGTGGCATCATCTGGAGTGCTCGTACTGTCCTCAGATTCTTCATTGCTTTGTGCTAGTCTGGAAACATTTTTCAGGATTATAAAAGCAAAGCAACTTAAAATAAGAAAAATGGTATTTAAATGTCATTACCCTGAGGAATTGAGCGGTCTGTTGGGATTACAAAATTCTTTCCCCGAGTCAACATCAAATGGATCTGTGAAAAGAAGGGGAAAAAAAAGCATGCATGGATGAAGGTGGCAAATGTTAAGGGTCTGCGCCCATTTCCTCATTTTCATTTTAAGAAATTACTGGCAGGGAGGGGAAGGCATAAGAAGTCTGTTTCAGCTTTCTGGTAAGTTTACCACTGTTCAGTCAGCAACCAGGGAAGGTGAGAAACAGCTACCAAGTCCTATCCCGTGTTGTTCCCCCCCCTTCTAGTCTTTTCACTCTTCCATGCCCTTTGTAGGCCCCACCCACCCGGAATTTGGTAGCTCTGTAGGAGGGTGATCAGGCTGCACACAGATTTGTAAGGGTTTTGGTAAGAAAACACAGATGTTCTCACAATGGTTTAGTTCCAAACCATTAGTTCCAAACTGGTTAGTTCACATCTACTGAGAACTGAAGTATAGCTATGCAGGTTTACCTCTTGCTGAGCAAGGGCAGGTCTAGATTTACTTTGGTTTAGAAAGCTGGGGAGGACTGGCACCTCAGAAAAGTGAAACAAAGCACAGTAGCTTTGATACCACTGTCCACCTGGTAAATGCATAGGATTGTGGGTGGAAGTGTGTTTTATTTGGTATAGTAATTCTGTCCCTTAAGAACTGTCTTTACTTTGATGTAACAGTAGTTAGGGTTCCACCAAACAAGGTAACAATTTCATCCAGCCTAGCACCTTATGGCAAAGAGATCAAAGTTCAGAGGAACTAAAAGCTGTCTACCATCTCCTTACAGTGTGATCCACTAGCCAGTTTTTATGGCACTTAACCACTGTGAAAGGAAAACATTAATTAGGAGCATCTCTCTTCATGTTGTTCTTCATCATTTTGATTGGCTTTTTTTGTCCTATCTAGACTGAGACCAAGCACTCACCTGTGAATATAATCTGAAATACTGGGATACAGGTAAGTTACTGGAAGAATTTGGGAATAAACTACTCTATTTATTTTCATTATTATCTCTTATTGGCTATTTTCATTATTTTATAGGTCTGATTTTAAATATATTGATTAGGGACTGTATACATACATATTTTCAAAGTCTGTCTTAGGTTTATGTTTAAGTAACTGGCTGTTGGACTGTATGCCTGTATTTCTCTTACAGTCCTCCTGAATTACTACTCTTTTTAGTCATACTCTGTTTTTAACACCTTTTAACATCGGATAAGATGAGGAAGCATCACATTTTCTTTTTACTCCTTAGTTCTCTAACATCCCTAATTTGATCACGGTGGCTGCTCCACAGCTCCCTGGGGGATAAGCTCCATATGCACTCAGTTGATTTGGTCATTTTCATCTTTTTGAGCTGGTGGGGAAAAAAAACAACAACAAAAAAAAAGCAAACTTGCTTATAGAAAGAACAGAGAGAGCACTCAGCATAAGGAGAGAATAACCAACACATCTCAGCAAAGCTCTGATCTTGACAATATTTGCATGAGATTAAAGGAAAAAAATTGCAAGAAAACTAGTTAGGAAAAGAGGGTGTGTTATGTGTCTGGTTTTTCTTACCTATTTCTTCCTCTTTTGTTTCTTGGACACTGGCTAAAAACTCCTTTTCAACTCTGAGCACTTCCTCCTGGCACTGACAGGCTGCATATCTTTCCAAGAGATTTTTGTTCAAGTCAGTAAATGCCTGACCCCACTTAAATTTCCTTAGAAGAATGGTGGCTAGGTCTGGGAATCCTAAAACAGAAAATAAACAATCAGTTTGCTTTTTCAGTGTGAGATTTCGTTCAGCTTACTAAGGTCAGCACACACCAACGTATCACCACATGACTGATTCAAGCTCTAGCTCCCGCAGTCCTTCAGTAAGACAGCAGTTGTGAATACAGTATTTTCAGAAGATAAGTCCTGTCAGGAAAGCTGTGATGACTCTGCAGAACATCACAAGAGGGACCAGTTAATTTTGTTCTTAATCAGAACCCAGCCTATTAGGAGCCAGTTGCTTCCTGTCATTAAGACAGAGGTGCCAAAGGATTCATGCTCTGTCTTCTCTGGCTTTTTAAAGAGTTTTTAGGTTTTTCTTAAATGAAGTGCCATCCTGACAAAACCAGGATTATCAGGTTATGTGTCCAGTTTCATGGCTGACACGAACTCCCCACAGATACCTCAATACTGCCAGATACAAGTACTTGGAAGAAAGCTAGACAATCTGATTCCAGACTCAACGTAAACAATGACCAGTGGGACAGCATTACAGTTTATTCTATTGCAGGTTATCTCTTCTTATTTATTAAGGATATAAGAATTGCTGGTAACATATTTCACATCGGATGCATTACAACCTACCGACAATGCAAAAGGCTGCAGCGAAAGCTTCCACGCAGGACAGTTTGCACGGCCGACCATAGTTCACAGGGTTTGCAGCCACCAAGTAAGGCAGCAGCCGTAGGTGACTTCCTCTCATTCTCTTAAAGGGAGTTTCTTCTAATTTGGCCCATGAGCAATCTATGACTGCAATTCCGCTCCGGGCAACGACATGCCTGCAAAACCAAACACTGCTGTATTTGAAAAATCACCATTACAGTATTGATAACTGAATGGGAGAATTACAGTTGCCACTTTACACTGACAAATCTGCATACCCCCCTTTTGTCAATCACAAGGTATATAGTTTACAATGATCTAAAATACAGATGCAGTGAGAGAGAATAATGACCTGCTTTTCCTTTGAAGATGCATGTGGTAAAAAAGGTTTATCCATACATTTCATACTGAAAGTGAAAAGTTCTGGGTTTAAAAACACGACAGGAGAGTGTGATTAATGGTAATGTTCCAACTCTTAGAAGTACACCAAAATTCAGATTTAAGTTTGCTGCCAGCGTCAGAAGCCTTGGCTTTTCTCCAAGTAAATACTTGGTTATAAAAATGCTGCAGGCATATTTGAAGAAAGTTCTCAGCATTTCCCCCAAATAAATTTTCCAGCTAACACACTGCATTGCCTACCTGAAGACCCTGGATATGAAATCGTAAAAGATCCAGTAGCTACAGGCCTGTGATTTTGCACAAATTAACCCACAAACCACATGCTTTGATTTCTCACCGGGATGTACAGATGCTTTTTTCACCTGATACCAGTTGTGTAAAAACGTTAACCTGATTTAATAAAGTGCCCCTATTTCTCATGTTTATGCATCAATGTAACGCAACGGGAAGGTCAAATTTATCCTGTGGCACAGTTCTGAGCCACGTGTGCCTGCGCGGGCCTCGCAAACGGGCAGCGAGGTCACCCAGGCCTCACCGGCACCCACCTGTCAGCCGGAGAGACGGGCTCGGTAGCCAGAGGGCTGAGGACGACGCCCGGGAATCTCTGGCTGAGGCGCAGGGTTCGGAGCAGCCCATTCCGCGCTAGTTTCCTCCCGGTGCATTTCTTTGGGTCGCAGTGCCCGAGCTCCCACATGGCAAGAGGGCACGGGAGCTTCGCCTCTGGGCCGCCCCCCCCGCCCTCCAGGCAAGCTGAAAACAGCAGCAGCGCGTTAGTTCTCAGCGGCCACGCCACGCGGCCCGGCCCGAGCAGGCTTCAGGGCAGGCCCCGCGGCCGCTCGGCCCACAGGCCCCGGCCCGCTCCCGCACCTCTCAGCGCAGCCTCCGCTTCCGCCGCGAAGGCTTCGAGGCTGCCAGCGCCGCGCCGTCTACCACGCCGAGAGGCAGCCGCTCGGCCCAGCTCCACGGCTCCGCGCTCCATGGCTCCGCGGCTGGGCGGAGCGGCCGACCTCCGCGCCCTTCCGTTTCCAGCGGAAGGGGCGATGGCGGCGGCCCGGCTGCTGCTGGTGGCGCTGGGCGCGGCGCTGGGTGAGCGCGGGGTGGGAGCGGGGAGGGGAGGGGGGGAGTGTGTTACTGTGCAGCCAACCGCTCTCTGCTCAGCAGGGCCCTTCTCTTTGGCGGGGAAGATGAAGGTCGTGGAGGAACCGAACACGTTCGGGTACGTGGCTGCCCGCTCGCCGTGGCCGCGACCCACCCGGACCTGGCGCGCTCGGGGTCATCGTCCGCCTCAGCCCGTTCCTTCCTGCGGGAAGGGGTCGGGGCGCTCCTGCGGGAGCCCCGCGGGGTGCGGGTGTTGCGGCACTCGGACAGAGGGAGGTACGGGTGCCCAGGGGCGTCACTCGGTCTCAAACGTTTCACTTCCCTTCTTTTGAAAGGCTGAATAACCCGTTCTTGCCTCAGACAAACAGGCTGCAGCCAAAGACGTCCCCGTCTGCAGTATCAGGTATATGCAAGCGTTACCTTTTTCTGTATAGTTTGCGTCATGTAGCGACAGCCATTCCCGAAGCAGTCTACCTTGACTTTATGGAGACAAAGACTACTTTTACTTGTCATGTTTATGAGTGTCATGGAAGATAAACATGAGCAAACACATTTTATTGTGCTTCTGAAGGGTTAAAACCTAGATTAATCCCTTTGGTTCTCAATGGCCCAGTGCTATTCGGACTGCTTTTCTACATACCAGTCCTATCTATGTGTTTTATTCTGTGGTTCTTTTAGCCAGTCACAGATGCTTCTGATCTTTACTAAAACTTTTTTTCCCTCTCAAAACAATCCCTGCCATCCTTGGCATTGTCATACAGAAGCCATCCCATCATCGGAGAGTTCTTCATACTCAACCACTGTTTTAAAAAAAAAGCCTAAGAGTAGTGTTGGAACAGGTCGCAGAGGCTCAGTTTCACACACAAAGCCTGGGGACACTGTAGCACACAGTTAAGAACTTTTGGCCATTTTTTGAGTGACGAGTTACCTGTCTTGAATTCCTTTTGACAGCAAGGCTGGAATGGTCAATTCTGTAAGACTAGAGTTGTAACTGCTGGCCTGTCTGACAGTAAAAAGTTTATCTTGTTGAATGCTAACTGATTAAGACTGTGAAGACAAACTGGAAAGGAGTATCTTGTTCAAAGGGTCTCAATAAAACTTAAGTATGAAGTACTGCAGACATTCTGAGCAAATGGGCTTTCCTAGTATAAACTCGAGGAGTTTGGATGACTTTTGGGGACAGACAGCTGCTAAGCAAGAGTTCTAGTGATTTCAGTGTTAGATTTTGGCAAGATCTGATAATTCCTTTTATGGATCTGGCCCCCCAGATATTTGTTTGTATACAGGTTTCTTATTTCTCTCATAGAAAGAGGCTTAAGTATGTTAAGATCATTATGCAAACCAGTATAGCACTGGTGGGAGCTTAGCGTGATCAGTATGGAAGATACAAATTTTCTTATGTACAGCAAAAAACTTTGTCACATTCTTCTTGCAGTTCTGTCATCACAGTAACTTGCCTAAATTTAACTAAAACATTATTCTTCCTTGATGTCATTTTATGGTGTTTTTAGGCCCTGCACATCTCTTCAGGCTTGCTGGCAAGTGTTTCAGTTTTGTGGAATCAACGTGAGTAATGGATTTGGATATTGAATTCTTTATTACGAATGAAGTAGTTGCTTATTTCACACTGAAACAGTTCTTTTTTTTTCTTTTTTTTTTTTTTTTTTTTTTTTTTTAACTCCCCCTTCTAAGGTACAAGTATGAGTTTTGTCCTTTCCATAATGTCACTCAGCATGAGCAGACTTTTCGATGGAATGCCTATAGTGGAATTTTAGGGTGAGGCTTTTATACTGTTAAGTTTTACCTATGTTGTTAGCAGACCATTTTATAGATTGTTAAAAATGTTTTCAAATTGAGATTCTCTTATTGATCAGCTTAGGTCATTGTAGTTCCCAAGGCCTTATGCATAAAAATACCTTGTCTTGAAAAATCCAGGTTTTTCTCTTGGTAAATGCTAACCTCCTGCTGTAGCTGGAGGCTGATTAATAACCAGTGACAACTGCACAAGTGATATGTTAATGTGAGTGATATGTTAAATTATGTTTATGAGTGATATGTTAAATTATGTTAATGTGAGTGATATGTTAAATTCAGTAATGTATAACTACAGCTTATATTAACAAAGATTTAATGTCTCTTAACAATTTTTGAGTTTAATATAACCTTAAAAAATGAAATGAGTGCTTTATGCCTAGTGGTTCTGTTAAACATATTTAATAAAAGATAACAAAAGACTCACTGTAGACCCAAAAAAGTATTCCAAAGTATTCAAAGACCCCAAAGTACACAAATCATAAGTCCTAAAATAAATTTAATTCTTTATTAAATATTAATATTAATAAATATTAATGATTATTATTAAAAACCATAGCACTGCTTTAAAATTATTGCCTATCTGAATTTTTTTTATAATTATCTCTTTTGTTTTTTTTTTTTCCTCTCCCCCCCCCAGCGTGCATAGTATGAGGGGAAAACTGTGCTGAGCGTACCATTTGCTTTAGGACTAGCAGAAGTTGAGACTAGTTTTTTTTAGGTGCTTTTACCAGCACTAAAACCCCTGAAACAATGAGTTGCTCAGAGTACTTAGCATAATCGAATTTGTTGTGGGGTTGATCTATAGTTGTATCAACCCATTGGATTTAAATATGGGTTTGTAAGTGCAGATGGTTTTGCAAACTGAAAGCTGATCCAAAGCTGCTCTCAAAATAATGTTGATGTCCCCTGTGTAGCAGCCTGGATAGCAAACTACACTGTTTATACTGTTTGCAAGGTCTTGGCTGTTAAGATACGGAAATACTAAGACAACAAAAATTAAGTATGTACAGTTAAGTTCACCATGGAGTAGGGTATTCTTGGTTTGTTGGTTGTTGTTTTTTTTTTTTGCTGAGTGTTCACTTTTTTTCAGTCCAGTAACTTGAAGTAAAAGAATGTTGTGTTTTTTCAGAATCTGGCATGAATGGGAAATTGACAACAACACATTTATTGGAATGTGGATGAGGGAAGGAGACTCATGTGAAACTAAGAGCAGACAGACGAAGGTATAATAATCTAGACTATGCTAATTCTGACAGTATGGTTCTCTACACACACTCATGACACTCTGCAGACTGAAACATTCCTACCTTGAAGCAGTCATCATTTAAGATGTAACATAAAATGTAAAGATTAATTCCTGTAGGAGCTAGGTGAATGGATGGAGGAGGGAAGCTAAAATCAGGATAAAATTTTGAAGAAATTTATGTATTCTCACCGGCTACTTTTAACTCTTTTTTCCTTGATAGAGTGGAATACCCTGGTATCACCACTGTAGAAATATACAGTGCTTTGTAATTTGTGTAAGGAAAAATAAAGTAAAAGGTATTTGTTGAATTCAGCATGCCAGCCTAAGGACATTCAGGAAAAAGGAGGAAAAAGCATTAGGCAATTAACAGCATGCTGAGAAGGTAGGTAAGGTTTAAAAACAACAGGAGAAGGCATTAAAGGGTTAAGGAAGGAATCAGATACATGGGAGTGGCAAAGGAACAAAGTCAAGAGAAACAGATTCTGGTGTAAATACATTTTAAAGAAAAAGTAAAAATTTTAATTTTGTGGAGTTGCTAAAATATTTCACATTCAAACAGTCTCTGTGCCCAGTAACAATTCAGCTACAACAGTAAGGAGTGGTGTCTGAGACTTGCCCAATGCATGGCACATCATTTGTGTGTGTCCTTTATCCTTTTATTCATTGATGTTTTTATTTTTCCACCTCTCATTTCTGTGTGTTACACAGTTTTGCAGATACAATGAATTAAAACTCACATTCCATGGTGATGTAGATTGCTGTTATGAAGAGGAGTTTAAGTATAGCTCATAACAGGCTGCTTTTCATGTAGGCTGTTAAAATGATGGGTGAGAATACAATACTTAAAGAGAGAGGGTTATTTAGTTGTAATAATAATTGATCTGAAGATGAGATAAGGAACAAAATATGGCAAAGGCGAAAATATTTGTACTGTAATGGAGGTGCCTTGTTAACGTCTTTATCTTCCGTAGGCCTGCAGAAAGAGTTAGTATTCTTGTATGACCTTTGATACTGGGATTCAAATCTTTCACTGATACTTAGTTTTGAACAGACAGAAAATACTGGTGCTGCAAGTTTCAAGATGAAAACAAATTTCTGTAGGCTAGTTCTATATTGTTCTCTTTATTTAGCACATTGGTTAGAACTAAGATTTGCTATGTGAATTATGCTTATGTTAGGTAAGTTTCTAAGGAGTATCCTATTTACCCTTGTTTTTACTCTCGTTCTTGCTGGAAGTATGTTGCTGGAGTCCAAGGAACAATGATAGGTGGGGGGATCATTTCCCACTAGAAGAAGCAATTTTCACATTTGATAAAGCAATTTGAGGATGTGCTTGCTGCTATTCTTTTTCTGTGCCTGACAGCACTGCAACCTTTGACATGACAGTGTGTACAGAAATGCATCTGCTAGCATTGGAAGACAGCAAATTGATTATTTATGCTGGTCCTGTTTCTCGTGGAGGTGTTTTGCTCATCTTTGTTTTTACTGATGTTTAGGTTCATCTTGTTTGTGGAAGGAGCAATAAATTGGCTTATGTGTCTGAGCCAAGTACTTGTGTTTACTCTCTGACATTCGAGACTCCTCTTGTGTGCCACCCCCATTCTCTTTTAGGTAAGACTTTGGAAACCATTTGTGTATGGAGCAGCTGGCATATTGCACCAACCTCAGAGTGTAAATTTTTAGTTTCTTTGAGTCTCTAGGTTGATATAAATTAGTATTGAATGTAACATATGAAGTGTATTTTAAATTATAATCATTATAAACATACAGGTATTTCTCAGATAAAATGGCATTGCTAGCATAGACCCAGTGAGAGATGGGTTTTGGGTTGGTTTGTTTTTTTTTTTTTTCCTGTACTGGCTGCAGGAATCATCCCTGTGGGTGTCTCCTCATTTATTTACATTACAAAAAGGCACAGCCTAGTTAGAATTACATTCAACAAAGAAATAGGAGGCCTTCTAGCTGGAAATATGAGAAAAAAATTTGGTTGGTGGCACTCTCCAGGAACTTTAAATATGTGAAGCAGTTTATGTTTAACCCCAACTCTTGAAAGCAGTAGAAGCTGTGTACTGTATAGAAACATTGAGTTCTTAAAACAAGTACTCTTGCATGCTACTAGAGGAGCATTTAACTAATGCAGGACAGAGCTGTTGATTTTTACATGGTTTGACTTCCATTTTTCAGTTTATCCTACTCTGACTGAAGCACTACAAAAGAAGTGGGATGAAGCAGAGCAGCTTCTGTATGATGAACTAATAACTGACCAGGTTTGTTAATGTCTTCCAACTCTATTTGGTAAAAAACCATTTCTGTCAAATAGCCAACCTTGGCATTTGCTAAGTTTCTCCTTTTGGACTGGATGCATTTGTTCTGCAGTTGGCAAATAGTCATTTTTGTGCTCTGTAACTGGTGTATCAACTGGTAATAATAATATTTTCTGTAGTGAAGCTTGAGGAGTTGGAGTGGCTAGTGCAAGTTACAAGCAGAGATGAGAGTGGAGTGGATTGATCTATTGTTTTTGTGAAACTTTTTTCTAGGGTTACAGAAAAATACTGAAAGAGATTTTTGAGGAAGCAGGCCTTCTAAAAGCAACAGAAGAAAAGGAAGTTGAGAAACAGATTAAGAAAATAAGTTTTGAATTTGAAACAGTGGAGAAGTGCAGTAAGGTACAGAGTATAATCTTTACAATGTGGAATTAAGTTGCCACCTTTTTACTGGGTAACAGCATCACTGACAGTGTTGCCTAAATACCTTTGGATTCAGCTGAAATGCATTAATGGGATTTACTTTTCTGATTTTAACTGGCTGCATACAGAGTGATTTGATATCTTTATTCTAGCTCTTAAGTAAAGAACAAACCAGCACAACTGAATGCCCAATGAGAAGACAGAGTGTGGGTATGTAGGAATTGGTGTAGGTGCTCTGGTTATGAACACTTGCAAGTACTTTTTGTGGGGAATAACAGTCTGGAAATAAGAGAGAATTACTAGTGAAAATAAATGTGTAACCAGCCTTGGGAACGTTGACATTTCTCTCTGGATAATTACCCAGACTTGCATCAGAATGCACTGGCAGAAGCAAAAAGCAGAATGATCTATGCTGTGTCCATTTCTGAATTACTTTCAGGTGTGTGAACAGTCTTTCTGCAACAGAATCAATATCCTCTCTAAGTTAAGAGAAACTTCTGAAAGTGAGAACATGAAGTTACTAGGTCAGGAGTTGGGGAGGTGGTGAATTTCCTTAGCATGATGATATAAAATAAGGCTGTTCCTGTAGCAAACTTATGAATGCAATTTTGTGCTATAATAAAATGCTAGTTAGAGAGTAGATCCAAAATAGTCACAGAGAGCACTCCTAAATTTTACTCTCAGGGCTGGAAAAAGCTGGCTCCTGTTTTGGCAACACAGAAATAATAACAATTTTGTATCTTGTTCTTGGAATAAGCAGTTTATTTTTATGATCTTTTAAGTAACACCTGTTAACAGACCCATTATTTTTTACAAATTCCCATTTTATGTATACATTTGGAGAGTGGGAGAGCCATTTAAAATGTATTTTGTTTCTTAGGAATACAAGCAACTTTCTAAAGAAATAAAAACCCTGAAAGATTTATTAAGTCAGCATGGTATTGCATACAAAGGAAATTTTGGTGAGTTTTTTGGTATTGTTCTTTTTCATTATTCAGAATGTGGATACATAAATGATGTTTTTGGATACAGCAATAATTACATAATCTGTTACATATGGAGGTAAGATTCAGTAGACAAAACATTTAATAACTATTTAGGTCTTGGTTCCTGTGGAAGAGGACTTACTTTGCACCCCAGCAAAATCTGTTGATGACATGAAATGTTAGCTTTATGGGAACATTTTCACTGCTGTTGTAATTGAAGTTTGTCTCCAGTACTAAAGAAAAAGGAAGTCCATGTTACAGCATTCATAGCACATAAGCAGCTTCTAAGTAACTCTACTTTCCGCATAGTCAACCACAAGGCCTGACTTCTTCAAGAACACTTGAAATGTTCTTTGTATCTGTTTGAATTGCTTTTATCCCTTTTTAGTCACCTTTTTTTTTTTTTTTTCCGTTTCAATGTCTGTTAGGTAAGTACCATATCACATGCATTTTTTGGAAGGAAAGACTGGTCTTGGAAGCAAAGCTTATCTGGAGTAATTCCAGTCAAGTTGATGTTTAGTTTTGTTGTGTTGGTTGGTTGGTATTTTTTGTCCCATTCCTTCCAATCTATCATACCTATTGTTACATGGACTATTTGTCAAAGGAGGATTTAATTTCTCTGTATATTTACACCTTCTATGTTCAGAATTGGCACCTCAAGAAAACAATGGACCTTTGAGCTAATTAGCTTAAAATTAGTGACATGTGTCTTTTGGTTGTTGTTGTTGTTTTGAGAAACTTTCTTCTCTGTTCTTTCTTTTCTGGGGAAAACTCATCATATTAGGATTTTTGTAAAACATTTTGTCTGCATGTTTAAACTATTAACTATGTAACTTGCACAGTATTTCTGCCTGTTTGGTAGATTATTTAATTACGTAAATTAGAACTGTATAATCAAAAGCAGAATTCACAGCTTACTGTAGATGGCTTATTTCAAACTACTCAGTGAATTCTGTGACAAAAATGTTGATGTTTAAAAGGAGAAATAACTGATGTCTTAAACTGAATATTACAGCTGAAAATACCAGTGTTGAACATGTGAGTCACAAACTGCCAACTGCAATGACAACTCTTCTTAACGGGTCAAAGGATGATGCACACCTCCATGGCGATACAGGAGTTTGGAATGACACTGTATGAAGAAACCTGGGTGGTAAACAGTGAGTGCGTATGGCGCATCAAGCAAGTTGAATGTGTATCATGCCACTGAGATGACTTACCCTCTGCCGGTATTCTCAGCTTTCTGAATTTCTGCCTTAAAGCGAAAGGAGCGAGGGCTTTCCATTGCTGAGAACAGTTGGCCAATTTCTGAGCGCATTTGTAAAACTTCTTTGCTACAGCTGCTGTTAGGCAGAGGTTTACAGGTTCTGTGCCTCCAGCCCTGGCTTTACTTTCTTTGATCAAGCATGGTACCAGGTGGTGTAAATACAAAACAGTTCAAGACCAATGCTGTAAGATGTTGTATGAAATGTAGTAAGTTTAATATTAAGACTACGTGTCTGTATGCGAATAGGTTTTCTGCCAGAGCAGTGCACAATGCACCGCTTCCCCCACCCCCGTTCAGAGGCCGGTGTCATCTTTGGATAGCGGGTGGATAAAAGGAAAGCTGTTCGGGGTCTGACAGAAGGCTCTGCGGCAACCCCAGCCGTCACAAGAAGGCAGTTGTGTTTAGGGAACACCTGGCACTTCTCTGCATGCGGTACGGAACACGGCCAGCAGTGAAACGTCACTGCGGGCGGCGGGAGCGCCGTCCGCAGCCGTTTTGCCACCCCTCCGTGAGTGTCCCCCAGCCCCGGACCGCTGCGGCGCCCCCCCGCCCTCGCGGCACCGCCGAGCGGTGCAGTTCCGCTTCCGCTGTGCGCGGGGAGGAGACGCGCGGGCGGCACGGCAAAATGAGCTGGGCGCTGGGCCGCTGGCGGTGAGCGGCGGCCGTGGGGCGCGGGGCGGCCTTGCGCCCGCCGCCCCTGACGCGCGTGTCTTTGCAGGGCGCGGCGCCTGCGCTTGCCCGGCACCCGGATGTGTCTGGCGCGGCGGCGGGGCCCGGAGGGCGCGGCGGGCGCAGATCCGGAGGACGGGGCGCCCATCCTCTTTTCCACCAGCAAGGCCAGCCCGCGGGTGTGGAGTGTCAGCCAGTCCATGGGGAGCGACCACGAGAGGCCGTGGGTGAAAGTGCTGCCGCTCAGCCTCCTGTGCACTGGGCTCCTGCTCTGGTGTGTGTTCAGGGAACCAACGGAGATCGACGAGCGACTGGAAGCAGTTTTCTCTGGTCAGATGATGGACTCTTCAGATGTGGCGCAGAGAAGCAACGCTCCTTTGCAACTTGAGAAGGAGAAATGAGGAGGACGGGAATGCGGCTGCAGTGAAGGAGCTGCCAGTAGTTTGCTGGCATTCACCTGCTTAAAAGCTGTACTAACAATGTAATGGGAGAACTTGTTTTTGCAGGCTTGCCTTATAAGCTTGATTCCTTCATGTGTAGTGCTGCTTTCAGTGCTGGTTTTAGTAATCTAAGCTGGTAGCACAAAGAATAGATTCTTCCTGCGTTGCACCGTAGGGGTGGACAGGATGTATTGCAAATCAGCTTGCATTTGAAGATACGTTTTATACAACCCATCTCTTTTTCATGGATCATTTTTCTTACATGCACAGTATATTAGAATATCAAAGCTGTAAGTCTGTAAAATTGTTGTTGAAGGTGACCTTCATTTGACATTTTGCTAGTCACAGAGCATATTCAACTTGCATTGAAGACAACTGTATGTTTCATTAATACGTGATTCCGTATTCTGTTTTTTTTGTTGTTGTTGTTGGGGTTTTGTTTGTGTTTTGGGTTTTTGGGGGGTTTTGTTTTTTGTTGTAATTCTACTAAATGGTGTAGAAATCATCTTCAACCCTTAATTCATACTTGGTGCTTGCTTTCTGACTATAACCTTTTAGGCATGCCTGATTTAGATTATCATTACTGGGAGGAGAGGTTTTGTAGGGAATTGAGATGATTGGGTTGCAGTGTGTTAGGAGGAAACCCCTCATTTCATGAACAATGTAGTATGTTTTTTCCTTACAGGTATATCAATACTCAAACTTGCACACTCTGGACACTTTTCAGGGAGAGGAGGAATTTAAGCTACTCCTACAGCTTATTTCCCGTCAAAGTTAGAGGCATTTCTTTTAAGCTTTCTAATGTAAAAATGCAAAACTTTATGTGCCGTTAAAATTCTTAATCTTTAAAAAAGAAGACAAATAAACCCGAAACATCATCACCACCACCTGCCACAACAAACCGTTAACTCCAACCGTGGCAGCAGCCGGTAAGACTACGGCGAAAACTGGCACAGCATCATGTTTCTCTGACACTGCTGGTGAGTCTCAGAACAACATGCACACTATGCTTTAATTTTGCTGTTGAGTCCCCCTGTAGTTCATCCAGGTGATGCCTAATAATTGAGTATGGTTGGTTTGCTACTGCCATTAAAGTTTAATTAGTTCTAGGACTCACTTTCTACTGCAGTAGACTGTCGCAACTGAGATACGCTCGTAGGGGCGTCCAGGCGAGTAACACTGATTCTGAATTATATGTGTATTGCCCTAAGGTGTAACGCCTGTTCGTCTGCCTACTTTGCTTTCTCCACGTCCTTTAAATCAGTGCACCCAGCAATGTACTACTTGTATTTAAGGAAATAAAAGGGCTGCCCCTTCGTGCGTGCCTTATTTTTGGGTAATGATAGGTGTTTAATAAAGATGATTACCTAGAAAACTGTTCCCGTTGTCTCTTGCGTTGAAACTCTTGCCAGCTCTGCCTGCAGCGTTTCTTCGGGCGGCTCCTGGCGGGAGCCCGCCTGAGGCGCGGTCCGCACGGCGCGCGTGGGACAGGCCCGCGTTGTAGGGGGCGGGGCCGGTAAGACTGAGCTGCGCCTGCGCGCTGGCGGGCCGGGGAAGATGCCGTCGGTTGCGACGGTGGTGCGGCGGGGCGGTGGGTCCGCGCAGCCCGAGCAGCCAGCGCACTACACGTACGTACTGCGCCCTGGAGGCGCCGCGGGCCGCAGCGTCGCCTGGGAAGGGCCCTGGGACCAGAGGCGGAGGGCCCGGTGGCGTGCCAGGCCTGTTCCGCGCGGCCTGCTGCGCTGGGGGGAGATCTGTGAGGAGACCTGGCCCTGGCCGGCTCCCGCCGTGGTCCTTTCCCGCTCCAGGCACCTCGGGGAGGAAGCCGTGTTCTGTGCCGGCCAGTTGGTGGTGGTCCGGGCACGGCTGCCTGCAGGGCCCGTGCGGCGGTTCCCCTCGCCTTGCATCTGCTCCCACGGCCGTGCCTCTCTGGGCTGCACGGTGTGCTCCGGTATCCCGAGCCGTGCAGCACCCTTTCGCGCTCCGAGACCGCTCTCTCCAAGCTATAACAGCAGTCTTCCCACTTTCGAGCGTTTCGCAGCCAGCCTCAGCTCGAGTCCTTGGGGTGTTTCCGTGATAATGTTTGCAGACCTTCCCGTGCTGAAAGGCAGTTCCCGTGTGCTTGCCATCCTCTCTACAAGCCTGCCTGTTTTCTTTTATGGTCTATAAAGGGCCTGCAGCCCCTGGCATTACTGACAGCCCATCTCGTGTAGGAGCAGGTGCGCCACACACATGCGGAATGATTTGTCACATACCTTTACTCCCATCTCTCTTAACTTCACTTCTGCAACGTCGCATTTCTAGCACGCTCAGAAAGACTGCAGGAATGAGGCCATTTACTCAGATACTGCTACAGCCCTTAACGTACAAATGATCTGTTCTAGTGTGGGGTAGTTTTGTTTGTTTTTTCCGTTCCCCACAGGCCTGGGTAGTTTGAAGATTCTTGTCTAAACTTAAAGGCATGCTTCATCATTCTGTCTTACGGTACCCTCCGTGGGCCAGTTTAAGCACCTGGGTAAGAAAAGATGCCCAGTTCCTCTTTCTGATCCTTTCTTTGTGTGATCTTAAGTTCTTTTAGAGACGTCTTGGAATTCTGAGGTTCTTCTGTGAAGTCCCCATATACCCTTTCCTCTGCAAAGACTGCATAACTTTAGCAAAGTAATGAACTTGCTAAGTTGGCTAATAGACATATAAACTGAGGCAGGAAGAAGTGCTGTCTTACATTCTTTGAGAAATGCCACAGTAGTGCCCAGTTTGGCATGATCTTGATATCCTGTGGAAAGAAGTATTGGACTTTCTATCTAGCTTTTGTGCCCTGCATGCTAAAGACGGACTGTCTTACTAACACCTAAGTAACCTCCAGAGATTGCAGACTGTCTCAACAGAAACATAATAGTTGCTAAAGTAGGCTTGATGAAGCTCTCTCATAGTCCTGGTAACTTCCATAAAGCTCTTTTAACCCGTTAGCTTTTTATACAGTATGTCCATATTCTCTGAATGTTGTGATTAAAGACTAGTTTAAATTAGATGTGGTTTTTTTTAGGTAAAATAGCCTTTGTAGGACTACCTTGTATGGTAGCAGACAATGTGAATGCTTATTCTAGTAACTTGTTTGATTTATAATCTCTTTGGTGGTTACTTTGTACAATATTCTAAATGTTGTTCTTTTTAAACTAATGTGTTTTTTTGATTTTAGCTTAGTTACAATATAGTATAATTTGCCAGGTGTTCCACTGTATTTTATTAGTAATACGTTTATCAAATAATGAAAGTCAGTTGTATGCAACAGCTAAACAGTGCATTGTGCATAGAACTAAAACTGTATGCAGGTACATTTGTAGAATTTTTCATGGGCTATGTGCACTGAATTGTTAAGTGACTTGTTAATACTGTAAAAATGTGCCTCCAACAAGATAAACTTGTAAAAATGTGCCTCCAACAAGATAAACTTGTAACACAGTTTAATTTTTTTAGGTATCTAAAGGAATTTAGGACAGAGCAGTGCCCCCTATTTTTGCAGCACAAGTGTACCCAGCACAGACCATTTACCTGTTTTCATTGGCATTTCCTAAATCAGCGTCGTCGTAGACCTATACGAAGGCGTGATGGGACTTTTAACTACAGTCCAGATGTTTACTGTACGAAATATGATGAGACTACAGGAATCTGCCCAGATGGAGATGAGTAAGTGATTTCTTTCAGTCCTAGATGTTTATAGTATTATCAATGACATTAAGGAAAAATGATAGTTTTTATTTAGCAAAAGTGATTGATAGAATTCTGCTGCAATTTATTTGGAAACAGATTTCAATAAGTGATTTGTTAATTTTTGGTACATACATTTCTATATAAGCATGTATTCTTGAGGCTATTGTAGAGTTAGAACTATGATTTTGCGTTGTGGTGGTCTTTAAAGCATAACACAAGAAACTGGTTTTTTGCTGGTATTGTTCCTGTACATTTGTCCCAGTATTGTTGCTGATCCTTTTCCAGTTGTGCTTGCTTACTCTCCTGGCAGCTTTAAAATTGACGCCTAGGTGCCAGCCATACTGTGTAGGGCTGGCTCCAAGATTTTAAACCTGCCTAAGTTTTATGAAGGTTGACGGGTAGTAAAGGAGAATGACTGTTCCATGATGCTTCCAGTGAGAAAAGGCAAAGGAACTAATTTACTGTTAGCTGTCTGGCTAGGCCGTTAGTGTTTGCATTTCCTTGGACATATATCTCTTCTGGAGCAAGGCTACAGCGGCCTGCAGTGAACTTGGGGAGGGGTAGAAGCTTTGTGGAGATGAGAATGAGCAAATAGTACAATATGGCAGGCAGGCATACATAGAGGAGCTGGGCATATTGTGGTTATATGTCAGAAGAGCTACCTTCATCTGCAGTGGTGCAAGCAATGAAGGACTTCTGACAAAAAGAAAAATAAAACGAAAGGCAGGAAAGCAACTGGAAAATATGTAGTTTTGCTGAGCAGCTGTTTAAAAAAATGTAAGATTAATTATTTTGGTTACTGTGGTGTATAGTAGCACTTGTCACAGATCAGCTATCTTTTGTGTTGTATGCTGTACTCACAGAAGGAAATGATGGATTTTTCCCAGAGGCTTTACAAACTAAACAACAGAGATAAGAGAAGGTAAACAACAGAAACGCCCTAGGCAGCCTGAAAACACTGAGTACCATGCCTAAGCAATAGAAAGAGAAAAAAATGTCTCTGAAGTATGATGTAAAAGAGAACAATTAATTACCTTTTCAGGCATTTGTACAACATTCCTGCCGATCCTAGGGATCGTAGGCCTAAGACAATATTGAAGTTGGGAGATACACTGCAGGGAGGGGTTGAGAGGAAAGTGTCAATATAGCTGAATTCCCATAAATGAAAGAATAATGTTTCAAGGGGAAAAAAACTGAGTAACAGCAGACAGTAAATTAAGAAAATAAAGATAGATGTGAGTAGAGAAAATGAAATGTTTTCTTTGGCTCAGTTATAAGGTGAGATTATTGAAGACATTTGTGAGGGAAGTTTCAGAACTGTGAAGGGCCTTAGTTTAGATCTGATCCTGAGAACTGCTGGCTAGAAATCATAGCCAACTATTGTAAGTTGGTAACTGAGATTAAGTCAGAAGAGAAAAGGCATACATGGCAAATGGTTGGGAAAGGCAAGAGAAGTCAAGGGTAACTTGCTTAAAGATAGACAACACCACAGCATATCTGAAGTGGCAGGAGAAAAAAATGGAGGAAAGCACCTACATTTCTGAGGACATGCTCACAGTGTGGTAGTATTCCTGTTTCAGAACTTGGCAAAAGAGTATGTTTTGACCCTGTTTTTTTGTCTGCCTAAAATTTGGCCTTTTACTTCGAGCAACTTCAAATTCTTATAGGTTACAAGCAGTAGTGCCAAGACAACTTTGTTTTAAGCTATCTGTGACAACCAACATGTTGGTACTTTTTTGCTTTTTATCTATATCTCTGTTTGTTCTGCTCGTCTAAATGCATGGTTAGGTTAATGCAGTTTGCGAGTCGACGGAGGACTAGCAAGAAAGGCAGAGTGATGACACCCATAGTTGTTCTCAGGAACACACTTTCAGGACAGTTAAAGTAGAAATTGTTGGTTTACCCAGGCTTGACTAAGGTATTTGTTTCCAATTTTCAATTTGTACAGAAAGGAAGCCCAAAATTTTAAAGCTGTTTAGAAAAGGGCTTTTCTAAGGATAGCAGATTAAAACAGTCTGTTCTGAGAAAGGGCCTGTGAGAAAGGCTCAAATACTTGCAGAGTTAAAGGTGTGCATTTTTTAGCAGTGACAAGTGTCCTTCTCAATTTAACGCGTGAGAATAGAAGTGGGACTTTTTTTTTTTTTTTTAAATCCAGTGTGGTTTTCAACCACTGTCAACTGATGTCAGATCCAAAATAACTTCTGTTTTAGAATATGTATCTGTAATGTTAGACTGCTGTAAGAGTGAATGAATTACAGAACAGCACTTCAAGTAATCATAGGAAAAAAATATGTCAGTGCCTCAAGGTTTAACAGAATTAGAACTATGTAGTTGTTTTCGTACACTTAAGAACATCTAGCATTACCTTTTAAACTGAAACAGTTCTATTCTTAAAGGGTATCTTGGGAATGTTTATGATTTGAATTAAGAATGTGAAAAGGAAATAATACTTTTCAGTAATCAGTTAACCTTTTAAGGTTTTTGTGAATGTACTGTTTCATAGTGTTACATCTACTTTGACTAATGTAACAACAGTTTTATTTGAGAGATCTGGATGTAGAAAACAAAGCTGATTTCAGTAGTTAAATGTTGTGTGTAGACTTGAATAGAACTTAAAAATGCAGAGTGATGTTTTTTACTAATTCATGATTACTTTAGAAGTAAAGCATCAGTATAGTTATTTTAAGCTGGGAGATGGCTGTAGAGATATGGGCCTTGAAATACATTTCTTATTCTGCCTGGGAACAGCTGAACAACTTTTTTTTGGCTTTGTTTTGTTTTGTAATAAAAACTTTGTTCTTAAGGAATAAGTGATATCTGAATAACCTTAGTACCGAACTAAGGTACGTAAGACAAATTTATCAGTTTGCAGCCATGTAATCCAGTGATAATTAAAATCAGTCATTTTAAATCAAAATACTAGTCTTGTTTAAAGCTATGTATTGCAATGGTTTATGCTCCATTAAAATATCTTGTTAATAAAGTGAAGGTAAGATCTAACATCACTCTAGTTAGTTAAAGGTTGAATAGGACATCCATTCTGTGGATATTTCAGTGCATTGGCTTAGTTTGATACTGTGTGTGGATAAGTACAATCTACCGTCTAAAGCTGCTTTTATTAGGGGTCTTTGCCTTTCTGATCTACGAAGAACTACAGCTGATCAAGATGTCTGTGGTTAATTGCATATGTATTATTGTGGTATCATATGAATAACAAATTTTTATGTAAAATGTGCACATGCAGAATTGTTGCCATTTGTTTTGCTCTTTGAAGCTTGCATGCTGTTTTAGTCCCCCTGAGTCACCTTTAGAACTAGCCCTCATCTAGTTCTTTACAAGTCTTAGACAAAATTCAAACAAAATAACTGTTCCACCAGGTAGTCTCGTTAAAGCATTCTGTTACATTTCTTTCCCAGCTTGTCTCTGGAATCCATGTTGTCTTTTTGTGGGAAAAACTGTGACCTGAGTATTTCTCCCTCTCTCGCATTGCATGCAAGTTGTGCCTATCTTGTTTGACAGCTGTGCCTATATTCACAGAATCACAGACTGGTTTGGGTTGGAAAGGACCTTCAGATCATCTAGTTCCATCCCTGCTTCCATGGGCAGGGACGCCTCACACTAGACCATGGTGCCCAAGGCTCTGTCCAGTGTGACCTTGAATATTGCCAGGGATGGAGCATTTACCACTTCTTTGGGCAACCTGTGCCAGTGCCTCACCACCCTCACAGTAAAGAACTTCCTCCTTATATCTAATCTGTTTAAACCCATTCCCTCATGGCCTTTTGCTACAGGCCTTGATGAAGAGTACCTCTCCAGCATCCTTGTAGGAAGGCTGCTCTGAGGTCTCCACTCTCTTTCTTTCTCATTTTAAGATAATAGAAGGCTTTCTCTTTTTATTATTATTTTTTTAGTGGAGCCCTTCCCTGATAAGGCAATTTCAGTAGGGAAAATCTGCAGATATTTAAGCAGAAATGTTTGCTCTCTCGTAAGGAATCATGGATTTAGAGACAGGCAATGAGATGTAAACACCTTTACGCTTCTTGCATGGAAGTTAAGACATTTAATTCTGGTTTCCAACAGGAACAAGCATACTTCAGTAGACAAAAACAGAGGCATGAACATTATGCATGAAAATATGACAGAGTATTCCCACTTTTGTGAGGTGTGCAGATGTGAGTGGAACACCAGAGTTTATAATGAACAGTCTGAGGGGAAAATAGAAACATTTGGCCCCTGCAATGATTCTGGACAGTTAGCAATAACAAAAATAGAGTCTCAATTGCATTTCCTTTTGTTTAGAGCTCTGTACAGGACTGGTGCTGGCAAAAATATCTGATTGACTCTTGTGGGTTTTCTCATTTTTCCATATCAGTAGCAGTTCTAGCAGAACAGGAGGTCTGCATCAGTGCTATTCACATACCACAAACAATTTCTCACAAAGTTCAGCTGAGATGGTATAATGGGTGCAACAAAGATTGCATCGTGACTGTCTTTTCATGCGGAGCCAAGAAGTGTGAAAGAACTGCTTTCAAATCCTGAGTGTAGACTGTGCTTCATCTTACACTGACAAAATGAGATGTAGCACTGAATTTGGTATGTGTAGTCTTCCCACTAATCAGTTCTGTTGGGATTTAAAGAGATAGGTACAAATCACTAGCTGAAGCCCATTATATTGTTTAACGGAATGCTGGTCTTAAATTTCTACAAGGAAGCATCTTGACTCTCAGAAATCATAAACAATATGAATTCCTGGAAGTCAGCAGAAGCTGCAGGTGTTTAGCACAGCAGGAAAAATGTATGATGTTGATGTAACTATACAAATACCAGACTTGTAAATGTTTGCAAATGATTGCATTTGCTTAGTTTCCAAGTAACGTTTTTTAGAATACAGTAAATAAAACTTAATCCAGCATAAATTCTTGTGAGTGTTTAAGTCTACTTAGTTCTTTACTATTCTCCCTCCAAAGTAAAATATTTCTGAGACTTTTCATTTATTGTTCTGTATCACTCTATTATTATTTTTTTTTTTTTATGCAGTTTCTTTTTACTTTGGGATGGGGGAAAGTTTTTGGAAATTAGTGATTTTTCAAAAACAGCAGAGACCAAAATTAATTGAACTTGGAGGGAACAGACATCCCTTTGCATATATTTTTGTGAGGTTTTTAAAATCTGTTTACTGTTGGTAGTTGCAGTTATAATCCGTATATGATGCTAACCATTTTAAAGTATAGACTCTAACTCACATAACTGTGTCTGAAAAATGGTTAGTATATGCACAAACATGTATTGCTGATGTAAAAATTGTTCTCTTCTTTTAATAGATGAGTCATTGTAGATTTCCCATGAAATTGTTCAATAAGTCTCATGTCTATAAAAAGCAAGCAGGAAAAAAAACCCCACCATGCTTCAAGTACTCCTTGATTTTAGATGATGATAACATTAAAAAAAACAAGACCATCTTCTACCTCCTACTGCAGAAATTATTTGAGCTTGTATCAGTATGGAAAATGTCATTCCTTAGCTCAGATGATGTTACAGGGGTGTTTGCTAGACATAGTAAACATGTTTACTAGTATTTACTAGTACTTATAGTATATATACTAGACATTTATAGTATGTAGTATATAGTATATATACTAGACATTTACTAGTGATCGGGCATCTTTGTGAGCTGGCCGCCTTTAAATTCTTACAACATTAGCAGAGACTAAGAAATAAATATTAATGTTTTTAATTTTGAAGCTGATCTGTGATGGTGCTATGTTTGGGGCAATTTTTGTTTGAAGAATACTGCAAAGTTACTTGTTATAAGTTAATAAGAGATACAGCATAATTCAGAATTAAATAATAAAACTCAAAATCAATGCTCTAACTTCCCTGTTTCTATTATGTAGTTGCTCTTACCTTCATCGAACAACAGGCGATACCGAAAGGAAGTATCATCTCCGATATTACAAGACTGGAACATGCATTCATGAAACAGATGCCCGAGGTCACTGTGCAAAGAATGGAATTCACTGTGCCTTTGCTCATGGGGCACATGACCTTAGACCACCAGTATATGATATAAGGTAGTCTTGTTTCAAGTTATTCGGCCTAATTAGCAGGAAATAGCACATCTATTATATCACCACATACCAGAAAATGCAGTATGCTTTGCATGAAAAATATACTTGCCTCTTTAACTGTAAACATAAAGATACAAATCACTGAATCATGATAGCAGATAGAAGCACACTGAGAAATACAAATACTGGATTTTTGTAACTCTCAGTTTCAAGGACCATATGTGGTAATTTTATGACTGATAAAAGGCCAAATACTCTACCTTTTGTCATTTATGCCTTGTAAATTTGCATGTGGTTTTTACATTCACAAATTTATGATTTTGTTAAGCCATCTTTCAGGTTCTCAGCTTGTTTGTCATTTTCCCTACTGATGTTCTGTTTTGGTTTTTTTGTTTAGTTATGTTGTACTTTTTCATGTAGAAGATACCAGTATTATTTTCTGCCTCTCTAATTTGTAGTCAAGTAGGTATGAGTTTTAGCTCTGGCCAAAGGTGGGAGATAAGCATGCTGTTGGGAGGTATTATAAATGGGTGGAGGCAGAGCTCTTGCTACAAAAATTGATCTGTATATACTCACTAAGAAAGGATTCCAATTCCTAGAGAGCTTTGAAATCCTTGGAGGTCACAAGTGTCTCTTACCGGGCACTGGAAGAACATTCTGGGGAAGTATCACTATACGCTTGCCCTGTTCTTATACTCTTCCCTAGGAATCTGCTATTGGCCACTGTTGGAGACAGGATTCCAGGCTAGATGAACCTTTGATCTGAGCTGGTATGGCTGCTGTCTTACATTCTTAACTTTGTTATCCCTTATTCTCAACGTTCTGTTGGGAGATAACTCTCCCTTCACAATAATTTTAGTAAAATTACTGCTTTTTCATAATTATAAAGTCATATTTTGCCACAGAATTCACTGCTGCGTTGCCTGGTCACATACTGTTTAGTTATATATAGCTTTTCTTTCCAGAAGACTTTCTTCAGTTAGCTAGCTGATGCTTCTTCTGCAAGATGTCTGTATATTTTCTCCTTTTTAGCTTCCCTCATTTTGCATATGCAGCATGAGGCCACGTCTGTCTGAATAAGGAATGCTTAACATCTTTGTAATATTTTGTACTGAGTTAGAATAAGGAGCCAGTGTATGGCAAGACTGAAACCAAGGTCTGTTCTCTAAATGTCTTTTAATGTATTACATGATTATTGGTGATTGGCTATATATAGAGCATCAGGAGGAGCAGAAGACACTTGTGGTAGGAGTCTGCGTTTAACATCCTGAACCTACAAGTAGGCTGCCTCAAACTTCTTTGATGTTTGTGAAAAACAGTCATATACTGTTGCTTCTGATGTCAGGCATCCAGCATTCATAAGAATGTCCAAACAGGTCTTTTTCTTTGGTGGTCTTTTTGCGCTATGATGGACACAGATACTAGGGTTTCTTCATTTTAAGTAAAGAGCAGAGAAATAATAGTCGAATCACTGATGCACATGTTAAATTTATTCCCCTTAATGGCCTTGTTCTTCCATATATCCAGCTTAAAGAAAAGCACTCTCTAAGAACTGGTTTCCTTCTCATTGCCTGCACCTTTTCTGAATCTGTAAAGGAATATTTTGACTGTTTTAGATGTTTTAGACTTGGCTTTGGGTCTGTCTTGTTTTCTTTCCCTTTGAAATTTTCTTTTTTGAGATACGTGGGGTTCTTGAAATAATATGTGAATTATTTTGTAACTATTTACATTATAAACCACAACCTTTCAAGAGGTTCCTTGAGAGATCTTCCTTCAGAGATCCTGAGTAGGAGTATTTTGGTATAGGAGGCAAGCTGCTTGATTATTTTTATCTCAAGAAAGAAGTGCCAATTGACAGTAGGGGCCTTTGATTCTCATAGAGTAGAGAATATATTCTCATATTGTAGGTCCACCTCTGGTATTTGATTTCTCATTTAGTTCCTCCATTGCTTGTAAGTCTGCCAAATATAATTATGCTATAGTTTTTTTTTTATATATTTTAAATCTTATATACTGGTTTGCTATTGTTGAATCTCTGTACAGCTTAATTTTACCAAAATGGTGTAATAGAGTTGTCTTCAGGCATAACTTTTCTAAGGCAGAGCGTCTTATGGTATTTAATTATTTCTCATAGAGTTCTTCTGTATTTCTCATCACCTTTATTGTCCTTTCTATATCTTTTTTCATTCTACCATGTCCTTTGTGGCAGTGAAATATCAAAAAATAATAGCATATTTGAAATGTCAGCACCCCAGCATGCAGAGGTACAGGTGGGCATTGCTGGTACAAACATTGTCTGTGTATATAATGCCACACCATTCCTTCATGTGTTCTTTTTGAGTTGTATGACATAGTAATTCCTTACACTTGTTTACCAGCTTCAGTACAAGTCATGGTATGAAATACAGTCATTTTTTAATTTTTTTAAACTTAGGCTTGTTAAGAGCTGGATCAAGTGTTAGAATTCTGGTAGATTTGGGCAGGTTTATACCTGAAGCAAATAGGGTTACTTTAGCTATACATGTACAGTTCAGCAGTGTTATTTTCTTTTCTCCATTCCAGAGAACTTCAGGCATGGGAAACCTTACAGAATGGGCAGCTAGGATGTGGTGAAGGCATTCCAGACCTGCAGCCAGGAATTTTAACAAGCCAGGCAATGATTGAGAAGATCCTTAGTGAAGACCCAAGATGGCACGGTAACATTACGGTCTCCTTTCTCTCTTTCTTTATTGGTGGTTGATCCAGTTTGTCGATCCTGGATGTTTATCTGGGAGAAGTTCAAAAGCCTATTTTAACAGAGTAAAAATTGGTTTATACAAGTAATGCAGGTATTTGTGAACAAGTTGTACACTCTGTCACATTTATATTCATACTGCATTTTGAAAATGTTTAAAATACTTGGTCTAATAGGGTCTTTGAAAATATATAATAGGTCAGTTAATTCAGTGCAAGTGCTGCTAGTCTGTCATTGTATTGTTCTTAAGAACAATGTTTAAGAACATTGAATTGTTAAAATCAGTAGGAGTTCTGGTTTGTGCTAAGTAGTATTAATGATTGGAATCTTGTTTTTTTGAGTCATTAATATACTAATTTATGGACCATATTCTTTGCTGAACTTGACTAGCAGAAATAAAATAGAATATTAAACATGAAATAAGAACAAAGTTTGTTCTCATGTTCATGGTTTAGACTTGCTTATTTTGCAGCCAGAGATCCCAGACTGGTTTGGGCTGGAAAGGACCTTAAAGCTCATCCAGTTCCAACACCCCTGCCACAGGCAGGGACTCCTTTCCCTAGGGCAGATTGCTCCAAGCCCTGTCCAACCTGGCCTTGAACACTGCCAGGGATGGGGCAGCCACAGCTTCTCTGGGCACTCTGTGCCGATGCTTCACCACCCTCACACATAGTAATCTTTGCTATGTGAATGTGTATCATTAATGAAATTTTGAGAACATTTCTTCAGGTAGTTTTTTGCAAATCCTACAGGAATCTTGTAGTATTGTGCAGTTCATTTTTGAGAACATCAGGCTAAAATGCTGAATTAAAGATACATCACATTGACTACTTCTGTTTTACCTACATCCATTTTCCCATCTTAGGAAGAAGTTAGATTGAATTGACATGATTTACTCCTCACAAACCCATGCTTGCCGTTAGCTAAATTGTACTTTCTAATTTATTTATTTGCTCCTTTGTTTCTGTGAATTTTTCTGTCTCAACAAAGAACCTTGTTTGTCATTTCTTAGTTCCTCCTTCCTGGAACCAAAGGTGTAGAAACAGAGGCAAAGCCTCTTTTCCAAAGAGGCTTAAAATTTGTCCAGGAAGATTTTACTGGTCAGCCTTAACATGTGTTGACATGAAAGCAGTTTTGGTGAAATAAGGACTGTCAACACTAAACTTAAGAGAAACCTAGATATAAAATTGCATGAGCTTTTAGTCTTTGTCTTATTAAAATGAATAATTTATTTCCAGCTGTTTGTTTTCAAAATGTTGAATGTATATAATTAGAATTCCTGGGTAGTTTCTCTACCAGTAGATTGCAGTTCTTTATTTGTGTACTTTCTTGTGATATTGCTATTGAATATAAAAGCAGTGATGATTGCTTTGCATGTAAAGGTGTTAGACTTTTATTCAAAACTGCAGAAGTCAGTCTGAGTTTATATGAATGGAGTGGTCTATAATTTTACACCAAAAAATCATAATTTTTTTACCAAAAGCAGTATGATACCCATGCTAAATAAAGACACTCTGAATGTGAAATTTAGTTGTTTATTTCTTTTAATTGTTGACCTTTTTACAGACACAAATTTTGTATTAGCTGGCTACAAGACAGAGCAGTGTACCAAGCCACCCAGACTCTGCCGCCAGGGATATGCATGTCCACACTATCACAGTAGTCGAGATAGAAGACGAAATCCCAGAAAATTCAAGTACAGGTACATAAATACTTACTAAGAATAGATTTGTTGGTCAGTCAGACAGCTTTTCTTTAATGGACTGATCAGTTGGGTTCTTCTATAATGCAATTGGATGTTCCTAGTGGAATTCAGCTATGTCTTTCCCAGTAGCCATGCTAAATTTTTTTTTTGGGGGGGAAAAAACTGTCTGTTGAGAATGATCAGGCAGTTCTAAAGACAAAACCTATGAATCTGTAATGGAAATACCCTTCTTACTTGGGAAGAATGAAAGCAATTTCTGTAAAAGCTTGGAATCACTAATTCAAACCTTTGTAACAAAAAGATCGATTAAAATTTCTGTCTTGTTTTCTGATTTCGTTCTATAAATTTCTATTTCTGAGCAATATTTTTAAGAGTAAAATTTAATGCATTCTCTCTTTTTACCATTACATCACTCATCATTATATCGTTTTTCATCGTTTTCTTACGCTCCGGTTTCTTCATTGGTTTTGCTGTTTTTTTTTCTGTGGAGCAATACAAGGTTTAGAATTGATGGGCTTTGCTTGACAGTCTCAGGGCTGTGAGTAAATGTCGTTAGAAGATAGAATCCTAGTAGCTCAACTTTCTATCAGAATTTACAGAAAGTCAGAATGTCTCAGAATTTGTAACTTTGTAGGTCCCAGATTCTAAGATGCTGAGATTTTAGTGGGAAATTCCTTTGAGATTTCTGCTAAGAATTAGATGCAGACATACTCTGGACATCACTTTTTTCTAGGTCCACTCCTTGCCCCAAAGTAAAACATGCAGATGAATGGGGTGAACCTTCAAGGTGTGAAAGTGGGGATAGCTGTCAGTATTGTCATTCTCGTCCAGAGCAGCAGTTTCATCCTGAGGTAAGAACTACATCTCTGCTTATTTTTAGTGATTTCAAATTTATTATGGATTAGATTATCAATTAAGATATTATTTGTGAAAAAACATGTGGCATGCATTCAAGACTTAAGTTGTCGAGGTATTTGCTTAAGCAAAACAAAATTTTCTAAGAAGTAATAATTTGTCCTGCTGTGGTTTTCACTGATGATAGGCATTTTTGTTTTATTGCTTATGAAAAACTAATTATTATTCTCTGGATTTGGGTTTATATGTGTTCTCTTTTTTACCTAATCTCTTGGATTGGTAGGGAAGTCAAAGTACTAATAACTTGGGTCAAATTTCTATTCTAAGTATAGTTAAAAAAGCTTTATTGCAAATGATTAAGAGAAACCCGAATAGATCAGGAGGATGTGGAAAGACCAGGATACTCTCATAGTGGGTAAAGTAAGACACTCCAGAAAAACAATTTAAATCATTTTAGATGCTTCTGTAGGCAAAGTCTGTGTAAGTTTGTTTTATGCTTGAGTGTAGTAGTGGAATGCTTGGGAAGAGAGCAGTGGTATGCAGTCTGCTGAGGTTTAATTCTTATGCAACACTATGAAAATGTTAAATGTGCCAGTTAATGGAAACAAATGTGATACTGAAAAATACATGTTGTGCTAGAAGCTGTCTGTACAACACTGGATGTCTGTTTTCATTTTGGGACCTTTGAATGGACATGAAGGATTCACAGCAGGGTATGATTTCTTTCACTAGAAGGTTTAATACTTAGTAAGCTATAAGCAAAGACCATTCAATTACTAATTTCTCTTCGAATTATGAAGACTATTGAAGGCATTTCAGTATCATACTGTAAAAGGAATTCTTAGACTACTGACTCCAGGATTGTTGCAAGCTTCATATCATACATTTCCCATCGTAAGTTGACCAGCTACATGGCACTAAAAAGGTGTCGGCTATCTCTACTCTTGAGATGCTGCTCCAGAATTTCACTGTCCTGATTACTGGGGATTTTACAGTCCAGATTTATTTCAGATCATCAATTTCTTCTGCATCATACTCCAGCTTCTTTTTCTGTACTGAAGGTGTCTTTCTGCTTAGTATTGCATTTTATTTATGACAAAGCTGCAAATTAAAGTGCTAAAAAAGTCACAAGGCTGAGCCTTGAGTTCTGCTGTTAATTTTGTCAGCTGCTTTCCTCTTTCATACCATCCATCATCATCTCTCCATTAGTCAGTCTAACAGTAGATACATAACACTGTTAAGAACCATGTTCTTCATTATCTTAATTAATCTTACCACATCCTTTATTGAAGTCCTTATTAGAATGACCACATTTCAATTTTAGAGGACCTTTGATTTCTCAAAAGTTATATGGTGAATCTACAATTATGTGCCTTTGCCAAATGTATTTATGTTTTTATCCCATTTTTTCTGTCTTTAATCTGAATGGCAACAGACAGAATAATTAGTGAACATGCAGTGACCTAAATCAGCTATTTTTTCTCTTCTCAAATATGCGTGAGCTACTTAAATGCTCATATAAACATATGTGGCCCAACTTGCAAATGTATATAGCATGGGGAATAAACAAGGGGAGTTAGAGATGTGCCTGCGCCTGCAAGGCAACGATCTTACTGGCATTTTGGAGACGTGGGATGGCTCCAATGGCAGAGTGTTGGAATGGAAGGCTACAGGCTCTTCAGGAAGAACAGGAAGGGGAGACAAGGAGGAGTTGCTGCCCTCTATGTCAGTGACCAGCTGGAGTGCACAGAGCTCCACCTGGGATGGATGAGGAGCCAACCAAGAGCTTAGGGGTCAGGATTAAAGGGAGGGCAGGAACAGGTAATACTATAGTGGGGATCTGCTACAGTCTCCCGGACCAGGAAGACTTAATGGGTGAAGCCTGCTATAGACAGATAGGAGCAGCATGAGCTCTGGTCCTATGGGGGACTTCAGCCACCCTGATATCTTTTGGGAACAATACAGCAGGGCGCAAGCAATCCAGGAGGTTCCTGGAATGCGTTGGTGGTAAACTCTCCTCCAAGTGATATAGGAACCAATAGGAGAGGGCTGTGCTGGACATTGCTCTCACCAACAACGATGGGTTGGTGGGGAATGTGAAGCTCAAGGGCAGCCTTGACAGCAGTGACCATGAAATGGTTGGTTTCAGGATCCTTAGGGCAGCAAGGAGGGAACACAGCAAGCTCACTACCCTGGACTTCACAAGAGTAGACTTTAGCCTTTTCAGGGATCTACATGGTAGGGTACCATGGAGGGAAGAGGGGCCAAAAAAAGCTGGTTAATATTTCAAGCATCACCTCCTCCAAGCTTGTAAGTGATGCATCCCAACAAAGGGGAAGTCAGTCAAGGATAACAGGAGGATGAAGAACAGCAACATGGATGAAGAAGAAGCTCCTGGACAAACATAGACACAAAAGGAAAGCCTACAAAGGGTAGAAGTAGGATAGGTGGGCAGTTTGGTGGGGATAGTGTTATGACCTCATCTAATTTTAGGTCTAGTGTTTAATTTCACAGAAACTAGCAATGTTGCCTGCATGGAAAGAGGAATTTTCTTTCAGCAACTTACCCTGTGATCCTTTCCCTCCTTTGCTCAAGCTCTGGCTGATCCAGTTCTGTGGTTAGAGTGGAAATTCCATACAGCTTTTGCATCTCTGACTTGAGGATTCACAGCACTCACTTGATCCAGTTTATAGTGAAATTCAGTATTTTCAGTGATGTTAATCAGTTACTTTCATTCCTCGGTCTACTTATTTGATATCCATAAATTTAGTGCATCCTTAACTTTTTAACGTCCTTCAAGTTGAATCAATACTCACTACATTCAACATTATCTTCTGTCATTGGATGTTTTCATGTACTTGATCTTTACCGAATTAAAATAAAGAATATTGTCATTGCCTCTTAGCTCAGTGACTGTTTATTGAAGAAATCTCCTGGTTATCACACTCAGGAATAGCTTGCTTCTACTATTAATAGATAGCAGCCATGTTTTCATCTACAGCTGGAAAGTGAGTCTCCTGTAATGATTTAGCTCTTCGAGTTTGCTGTCTGTCTTGTGATATCGATACACAAAGATGATGTGGCCATCTCCGAGATCTGTCTTTTCAGGTGCAAGCTCTGCCCCAGTAGTATTTTGATACTGTTTATATTATCACTTGTATCTGTAGCATTTACCAGAGGCACTGTGTCTCATCTGTGTAGCTCACAGAATTAGGTGAGGCTGTTTTTTTGGCTAGGAACTCAAACTAAGAGTTAACTTCCAAGTACGTGTTTTGTTGAAAGCATTTGGAAGTCATCCCTTCTTTTTGTTTCTTTTGTTGGGTTTTTTTCTTCTTCATCATTAGCATTGTGCGTACAGCATTGGGGTTTATATTTAAACGGTAAACAGAGAACAGGAAAGAAAGATGGGCCCAGCTTCATTTCCTAGTTTGAGTGTGGTATCCACAAATGACTTCTATGGTTTTTTCAATGTCTGTGATAGTTCCCAGCGAAATTGGTGGAAGGATCAGTCCTGCTGTTTTGTCTAAGTGTGTCATTCGGGTGAATGCTTGTCTGCGGGATGTTTTGTCACTTTTTCAGTGTTCAAGGAAAAATAAATTATTTGTAGAATTATAAGCATCAGTAATATTTTTGTGATTTAGCATTTTACTATAGTTTCTTGGATGACCTTTGGATTATGCATCAAATAGTGTGAGTATAGCAACAAAGTTTTCAGCCTTTGATTCAAAATCACTTATGAGAGGGAAATTTATCTAAGATGCTTAAAATAGCTCCAAAATAAAGAGCTTACAGAACTAGTTTTTAACTTTTTTAATATATAGTTTCATTTTTCATGTTTGCTCTAAGGTAGAAGTCCAAGGTACAATTTTTACACAGCGCATGCAGAAGCATCAAAGAACTTCCATTCTGACCTAAGAATTATTACTTACGGAGCTGTGAATCACTCAGCTGATACTGAAAGTCAAAGTACCAAGGTTTAGGGAACAAAAAGATCCCTCTGCTATTTGCAACAGACTTGCAAATCACCAGAATTAATTTTCTAAAGAATCTATGTGATTTTAAATAGGTTCTTAATATTGTTCCAATATGACAGCTTGTCAGCCCCTCCTCACACTCTTGTGAGATCCAAATGTCATCAAGGTCAAAGAACCATAGAATGGTTTTTGTTACAAGGGACCTTAAAGCTCATCCAGTTCCGACCCCTCTGCCAGGGGCAGGGACACCTTGCAGTAGAGCAGCTTACTCCAAGCCCCATCCAACCTGGCCTTGAACACTGTGCCAGGGGTGGAGCAGCCACAGCTTCTCTGGGCACCCTATGCCAGTGCCTCACCACTCGTAGTGAAGAATTTCTTTATATTTGATGTAAATCTACCCTCTTTCAGGTTAAAGCGATTATCCTTTGTCCTGTCAAAACATGTGGTTGTAAAAAATCCCTCTCCAGGTTTCTTGTAGCCCCTTTAGGCACTGGAGCCGCTCTAAGGTCTCCCCTGAAGGAGCCTTCTCTTCTCCAGGCTGACCCAGCCCAGCTCTCTCAGCCTGGCTCCAGAGCAGAGCTGCTCCAGCCCTCAGAGCATGTGACTGTCCAGCCAATTCCTTGCCCACCGAGTCGTCCATCCATCAGATCCATACCTCCCAGTTTAGAGACAAGGATGTTGTGTGGGACAGTGTCAGATGCATTGCACAAGTCCAGGTAGATGATGTAAGTCGTTCTCCCATTATCCACTAATGCCATAGCCCCATCATCAAAAGCCACCAAATTTGTCAGGCATGATTTGCCCTTAGTGAGGCTATATTGGCTGCCTCCAGTCACCTCCTTAGTTTCTATGTGCCTTAGCACTGTTTCCAGGAGGGTCTGCTCCATGATCTTGCTGGGCACCGAGGTGAGACTGACTGGCCTGTAGTTCCCCGGCCCTTCCTTTTTTTTTTCTTTTTATAAAAATAGAAAAGCCTGGTAGGGCAATAAACTGAATCTAGATCTTACTGGCATCTTAATCATTACTGTCATGAAGAGTCAGCATTATTTCAGTTTCTGCACACCCAGTCATATTAGGGAAAGATATTTGAGCGTTAAGATGATTTGGATATTGGAGGTGTCCTAATGAAGAAGCTGTGTTGCAAAAAACGTACTGTTGTATTTGGTTTTTTTCAGTTCTGTAAGCTGCTCTACTACATGCATCATTTCTCCTGCAAGATTTCTTGGAAGTGGTGTAAATTACTTTGAAAATTTTATTCTCAAAGGTCAACTTCTTTCTATACAGCATGGAAAACCAAAGCAGTTTAAACACTGTTTTTCTAAAATATTATTTTTACTACTTGTTATTATACAGAAGAGGGTTAAGATGCTCTTGTCTCAGGTTTGCTTTTCTTAAAATTCTGTTCTCTTTGATTTTTTAAAAATTATGAGAACTGAATTTTCTAAGGAAACTGTGATACATGTTGTTAGTAAATATTCAAAATTTTTCATTTAAAGGTTTTATAATTTTCTAGCAATTTTGTCATTATGTAACCTATACGTTTAGGTTAATCGCCGTTCTGTTTTGTTTAGATATATAAGTCTACAAAGTGCAATGACATGCGCCAAACAGGTTACTGCCCACGTGGTCCATTTTGTGCATTTGCACATGTTGACAGTAAGTAAGAGAACTGTTATTTTGTATCAGTGTTCATAAAAGTGAACCATAATTTTGAAACATCAATGACAGAAGCAACTTAACATCATTAATTGTAATCTCTACATGGATTTAATGTCACTTGCTTTTAGAAATTTAGTCCATATTTTCTAATACCATACATTGCTGTGGGAGCTGGCTGCATTTGCATCAAATTTGTATAGCAGAAAAATTTGTATAGCTTTTCTTTACAAATGCGTCTTGTCCATGCAACTTTTTGAGCTTGATTTGGCAATTTTCTACACACATACTTGACTTTTTAAAATATATTAGCTGTCCTGTTGAAACCTACAGTAAACTTCTCAGGTAAGAGTATTTGCAGTAGGGCCTTAGCTAAACTGGAAAAGAACACAGAAAATTTTCCGCTGTACTCTCCTCCATAGCCCACTTTCATCTTCACTGCACTCAAACTTATATATAGAAAAAGGGAAGAGGAACCATTTTTCTTCAAGAAAGCAGTCAGTTCTTTGGTATGATCTGCCCATGTTAATTCTGGGTATGCATCATCAGATTCTTTCTAATAGTAGTATCAACTTAGGCTACCCCTCCATTCTTCCTGTATTCCAAAATGTGAAATGTGCAGTTGGGTGCAGCAGCTATTCATGCCTTCTTCTCAGCTGTGATGCAAGGTAGAATTTGAAGCATTTCTGTGTAACTGGTTTTTATAAGTGATAATATTTTTTTTTTTAAATTCTGAAGCTTTTGCTTGATTATGTAATCCATAAAAAAATAGTCTGCTCCTATCTTACTTTTTGCTTTCTGCTTCTAGACCTGGAAAGAGGGATTTGAAAGCTCCAAATGTCTGCAATAGTATTTATCTAAGGATTCTCTAATGATAAATAGTGTCAGTCTCCTCTCTCTGTCTAACCTGTCTAAGCAAATGTGATGTTCTCTACAACCTCTTACTATGTCACATGCTTACCTAAAAGACTTTCAATGAACAGAATCATTCTTGCTGCACACAGCTCTTGTTTCTGAGAGTGTGTGGTATGGTGACCTTGTCTTTTAATTTCTGTGGTATGATCCATTTTACTTTTGTTAGGTTTTGTTCCTCGAAGAAGAAGAAGGATAAGTAACCGCCTGTATTTATTTCAAGAAGCCCATTATTCTAAGACCTAACAAGCTTTCAAACCATTATGGCAATCAAGTCTTTATAAACTGCTTCTTCACATCAAAAGTACCTTGCTGCCTTTATTTTCATGCTGTTGAGGCTGTCTCCTAGGTCAAGTCCTTCACTGTTTGCCAGTTTTGGCAAGTATGTCTTTGACTCAGGAAGTCTGAAAATGCACATTTTCTTACAGAGGTGATTTATGGCACTAAGTCTACTTTTCTCTTTATCTGATACAAGTTTTACTTTTCTGAAACGGCTGAAAGAGTATGATTTAAACAAATATACTGCATATGTGCAGCATGGTATAATTGTGTCACGATGAAAATCTCCTGTGGGAGTGTTTTCTTGTTTCCTTTCTTAGAGCATAGTGAATGCTGTCCTCCCCTCTTGCCTGTCCAGCATGAAGACTGTTTAGAATAAACTCAGCAGAGCTCATGGAGACTGGAGTTCTTTTGAGATCCCCATCATGATCTACTTCTGTGTGTCTTGATCATTAGTATCTTTTAACAGTCCAGTTGATGCTTGAATCATTCTCAAATGAAGCTCTTATTGACAATAAACAAGATTTACATCTCTAAGGAAAAGTTAGGCCTTGCTCAGGCCAAATGATAGAGGGCTGAAGGAAAGTGCAAACTTAACAATTTGCTGATCTTATTCTCCCTAAGGGGTATCTTTCTAATCTGTTGATAATGTTTTACCCCTGCCCATTCTTTCTTCCACTCTGTAGGATGAATTCACAGTATCACAGTATGCTAGAGATTGGAAGGGACCTCAAAAGATCATCTAGTCCAATCCCCCTGCCGGAGCAGTAACACCTAGATAGTGTTACACAGGAATGTGTCCAGGCGGGTTTTGAATGTCTCCAGGGAAGGAGACTCCACAGCCTCCCTGGGCAGCCTGTTCCAGTGTTCTGTCACCCTCACTGAGAAGAAGTTTCTTCTCAAGTTTAAGTGGAACCTCTTGTGTTCCAGTTTGTACCCATTACCCCTTGTCCTATCATTGTTTGCCACTGAGTAGAGCCTGGCTCCATCCTCGTGACACTCCCCCTTTATATATTTATATACACTAATAAGGTCACCCCTCAGTCTCCTCTTCTCCAAACTATAGAGACCCAGCTCCCTCAGTCTTTCCTCATAATGGAGATGCTCCACTCCCTTAATCATCTTAGTTGCCCTGCGCTGGACTCACTCCAGCAGGTCCCTGTCCTTCTTGAACTGAGGGGCCCAGAACTGGACACAATATTCCAGATGGGGTCTCACCAGGGCAGAGTAGAGGGGAAGGAGGACCTCTCTTGACCTACTAACCACCGCCCTTCTGATACACCCCAGGATGCCATTGGCCTTCTTGGCCACAAGGGCACAGTGTTGGCTCATGGTCATCCTGTCGTCCACTAGGACCCCCAGGTCCCTCTCCCCTACGCTGCTCTCTAACAGGTCGTTTCCCAGCCTATACTGGAACCTGGGGTTGTTCCTGCCCAGATGCAGGACTCTACGCTTTCCCTTGTTATATTTCATCAAGTTATTCCCTGCCCAACTCTCCAGCCTGTCCAGGTCTCGCTGGATGGCAGCACAGCCTTCTGGCGTGTCAGCCACTCCTCCCAGCTTAGTGTCATCAGCAAACTTGCTGATAGTACACTCAATTCCCTCATCTAAATCGTTGATGAATATATTAAATAATACTGGTCCCAGTACTGACCCTTGAGGCACTCCACTAGATACAGGCCTCCAACTGGACTCCGCCCCATAGACTACAACTCTCTGGCTTCTCTCCTTCAGCCAGTTCACAGTCCACCTCACTACCTGATCATCCAGAGCACACTTCCTCAATTTAGCTGTGAGGATGCTGTGGGAGACTGTGTCAAATGCTTTGCTGAAGTCAAGGTAGACCACATCCACCGCTCTGCCATCATCCATCCACCGTGTTATTTCCTCATAAAAGACTATGAGATTGGTCAAGCATGACTTCCCCTTGGTGAAGCCATGTTGACTGCCCCTCATAACCCTCTTATGCTTGATATGCCTTAAGGTGGCACCAAGGATAAGGTGTTCCATCACTTTCCCAGGGATGGAGGTGAGGCTGACTGGTCTATAGTTACCCGGGTAAATTCTTGTACTCTTTAAAAATCTTCAGAACTTTGAGAGAATTCCTGAGACTTTAAACATGTTAGCAGTGCTAATTGAGAAGCAGCAGCTTAATTTTCTGCATGTAGTTGTGTTGGAATTTAATGTCCATCAGAAGAGACTTGAGACATGCTCAGCCAAGCATGCTCTGGAACTCTGGCTTTCATCATCTTGAATGAAGACTATATAAGCAGGGAATCTCAACAAAGGAACTTGAAATCTTGCAGCAGTACCCTCTCCCTGTCTCTGGTAGTCTGAATAGTTCATCAGAAGTTAGATGTTTGTTTAGTATCAGCAAGAGTGCCATTCTGCTATTGGCAGCAACTTCAGGCTTAGTTTAGCAGCTCTGATATTCTGTCTGCTCTGTTAGTAGAATAAAATGATTTCTGTATTAGGGAAGGGGAGAAAATGGTTTCAGAGTTGTAGATCTTATTATCAGTATGAAATGGTTCGTGGTTCATGGATCTCTTTGAATCACAAATTACATGTGTTCTCCACCTAACTTCATTGAAGCCCTGCCTATGTGGAATGGATAGAGGAATATTTCCCACCATTCATACATGTATCCCAGCAATTTTTATTGTTCTGTGTGAAATAATTTGCGGGAGCACACATATTCTATAATTGCATTCCTAGTGTTCTCTCAGTTATTTCCTCAGAACCAGCTGACCATTTCCACCCCCACCCCCCTTCTTCCTCGAAGACTGCTTTTCCCTTCAGGCCCTGGCTGCAGGCAGCATTATCCTGTAAATGTCACCTCTTGATTTTCCCCCCCCTCTGGCTGAAATCCTAGGTCCAACTGTAGTCCCAAAGACACCTTGTGATGACAGGAGGGAGGGCACCTAATCCTGAAAAGTAGAGAGGTGGTGGGATCTGACATATCTCCCTTTGCAAAACAGAGGGTAACCAGGGTATATGGGGACACTTCAATAACAGATTCTCTTAAAGCAATGAACAGCAATTTGGCAGTCATTTGTGCACTGCCTGCCTGACTACAACTGGCATCTTAAAGAACAGATTATTTTTTTTTGAAACAGAAACATGGGCAGACCGAAACTCTGCTGGCAAGAGTTTGGAAACTCTTTGATCTCCTCTGTAACAGCTTCTGTTACTGAATGCATTTGCCTTCAGGTTGTTCATCCAAGACTGTTCTCTCCTATTGGTACCAAGACTGCAATAATGAAAACACTTCTGACTGTGGTAACTCTTGTATGCATAATACCCAAGCCTTGTTAGTGCAAACTCTAAGGAGCCTGTATAGCTGAAAAAGTTGTATCTCATAAAGCATACAACCCTATTCCTATATAGGCTACTGATACATTATCCCTGAAGCACTGCTGTATTAGCATTAGATAGTTGAAACTCTTTTTGAGAACTGTGCTAACTTCCATGAGCTTCAGGGATCACCATGAGATAGGCCACCACACAAGACACTTGCTTTTCTGTCAGTTGCAACCTCCTACAAGAGCTGTAGGTCTTTGAGAAAATATGGCTAGACTGGGGGAAGCTTATGCTGTAGAATTTGTTACTTTTGTGCAGCTGGCCACAAACCATGATGTACATTCCTGGAAGAAATTACAATGATATAGAAGCGTACATTCTGAATTTAATGTGTCTGTCTGACTTAACTATCAATAAGCAGAATAGCAAGAATTAATAATGTTATTCTCCCTAGATACCTTGGAAAGAGAAAGGAGAGACCATTTCTCTTTGAAATGTTTGGAAAGCAGTCTTATGCTACCCTTTTGGCGTGGTATGACTACTTGCACTCATTTACAGAATGTTGGACCCATGTGTGGTTGTGTCAGGGAAAAAATGCTAATGGAAGATGTAGGAGAGATCATGAATCAGATAGGGCTTTTCCTGTGACTGTGAGGGTTGACTGGACATAAGGTGGCTGCTCTGGCAAAGCAGCTCTACAGTAAGGTGGTACATAGTGGAAGTCAGGTAAACTAAAAAAATCCAGCACATCTGTTCTTGTCTTCCCAATTGTTATTTGCACTCCCGTTCTGCAGGAGGAACAGCACGACTCTAGTGACATCATCTTTGTAAACCCTCTGGTTGTTTTTTTCCTTTTTTGAGGGGGATGTGGGTGGACTTGTGTGCAGAGTGGTACTCAGTGGAGCTTTTTCCTTTTTCTTTTGTGAGCCACTTCCACATTTTTGTAATTTATACAATAGAGGAAATATTTGGTAAAACATTGAACTGTGTAGTCAGAAGGTTGCAGAGTTGTGATGAATAAAATACCAGGTAGAAAAAATCTGCATCATAGAAACAATCTTCCACTAAAGAGAGGCATCTATGTATCTCATACTCATGCTGTTTCTTACTGTGACTTGTACTTTCATGCACTCTGTCAGACCTACTTACTGTTTCTACTAGAGACAAATATTAAAATTTGATTTTTAACTGTAGTTTATCATTACCCATTAGATACGCAGACGTGGCTAGAGATGAAAAAAATCTTGCTATACCTATAGAATTTATTAAGAGATTTTTGCTTTCAGTTCTGACTTCGTTACTTTGATGTCTTGTGTGCATGGATTATGAGGTGAGAAATGTTAGTAACAACAATTGCTTACTAAACTAAACTTTTTTGTTAACTCATCATTTGCCTATAAAACTAGAAGTCTAAATCTCCTTAGTATATTGCAGATTTAGAGAATCAAATATCCAAGATGTGTAATGGTTTAACAAAGTAGCCTTTGGGGAGTTGCAGAGTAACTGTTCAGTCACCTTGAGCTGAATTTTCTGGTATGAAAATTAACAAATCATTGATCACCATTTACATGTAAGTTACTAATGAACTTTCTCAAATATTTTTATTCCTTTTTAAGTTAAATTGTACAAGTCCCATGTTCTCTCCCAATTGTTTTGTGATTAAGTCAGTTGATTCTAGTCTGGAAAAAGAAAACGAAGATCCCTGCAGTTATGATGTTACCTTTCTGGTTAGGAGTTCTAACAAATGTTGTCCTTAAACCCTGGTGTGACAGATTCTGGAAAACAAAACAAAATCTAGAATACTTTAAATATATCGATTTCAATCAATGTCCCACCAGTTTTTGATGGAACAAGAAAATAAGAGTATCACATTTGTTAGTAGCCACAAATACGTAATGGTGTATTATATATTTGTTATATATTCTTACCTTGCCTTTTATGCTTATATTAAAAAAAAAGAGAGAAGGATTTCTTGTGTGTGATTTATGTTTCCATGTGACAGGTGCTTTGTTGGTAGTAGGTATGTAATTGTTTAATTCACACAGCTAAGTATCAAATCTGTGTGTAATTTGTTGGGGATTCCTTCAACAGAGGACACCATGAATGTAGTCATACTGCAAACTGGTTGTCAATCAAAGCCAGGCGCTCACCTGTTTTCAGCAGACAGCGTAGGAATTGCAAATGAATGGAGCAGCAGTCATAACTCCACAAACAGCATTACAAATAGCAGTGGGCAGTCTGGAAATGTAAGTGTAAATAATTCTGGAAAAGTTACTGATAATCACTGTGCCAATATACAATGTTTATTTTACTTCCTAAACATCTGTTTTTTCTTTCTTTGTACTTCAGCAAAAGAGAAGAAAAACACAGCTATAGTAAATATCAGGCAATAATATTTAACTGGTAGTGTAAGCCTAACTGGAATGTATGCCCGGCACCAGATTTTACTATGTATTATTTGTGTTTTCTCTTGTTGTTTTTTGTCTTTAGATGCAATATTTTGAATGTGAGGAACATCATTGTTAATCAAATATACAACTACAGGGCAGCTTAATTTGCATATGTCTTTTTTTTCTGAAGGAAAGGTTTTATTCATGGGAGATCTTGACTGATCCCAGCCCTCTTCTGTGCCCTAATTTGTTAACATTAGAAATGAATTGATAACCTGCGTTAACATGCTTTATGCTTAAAGCATCTTTCAGTGGTGCAGTACATGTAGTGTGTTTGGTAGTAGAGAGTTTAATTACAAGGGTGATAAATGTATATTTATAGTAGCAAATTTTATCAGCTACGGGTGAGGGAGAGAAAGGAGAAAGATACATTGCAGAGATTTCATTGTTTTCCTTCTAGTATTTGTTGGAATAGATTGTTTTGTTAGGTTTTCTGATTGTTCCAAAATAATATATATATATAATATATATATAAAAAATATATAGTGACATCTCTCTTGTTCTCTCCTGACCTGTGTTTTTCTTACCTTTCTTACCTTGGTGCAGAGTCATAAGTACATACACATTTATTCCCAGAATTTTCACTTCTAGCTTTCCAGCACTGTCAGTCAATGCTGTTTGGTTAGAAACCAGATAAAAGGACGTATTTAAAAGAACATTTAAAAGGAATTGCCAGTAAATAGTCCAGAAACTCCTGGCTTTCTTTATGTAGCTTCATATTGCTGTCCTGTAGATTGAGAATAAAGATACTAATATGCCTACCTTTTATCTTAGGTTCTCAGTGCAGAAGTCTGCTTCTTTATATGAAAGGTTCTGAGACAGGGTCTACCTTCTTATTCAGGAAGCTAATTTTGTTGTTGCTAAGGTTCTGGACCTTTCAGGAGAGACCCATAAAAGCATTTCTTCTCACAGAAGCTTCTCAGCCTTTCATGAATGATTTAGGTACAGCTGAAAATATTACCTGCTCCTTCCAGACGTAGGGAATCTTCTTCGATATACGTATATTTTTCCGTTAGTCATTAGGAGTCTGACGAACATTGTCTACATTTTCCATTCCATTCTCAGTGAGTCTCTGCCTGTGCTCCTGTTCAAGTGTGAAAATGGAAAAGTTGACCCTACCTCCTTCTTGCACTTTCTACTTAAAGTTTTATTGCAAGTGGCCACCTTTTTTTCTGATGTCTGGCAAAATGTTCTGTTGTTCTTTCAGCTGACTACTTAAATTGACTGCATACCTGCAGCATTGGTTGATGCACTTCTTTTTTTTATTTTTTTATTTTTATTTAATATTCAGTCATTAGCAGGTTGGTCTTCTGTTTTTCCATGTTTAATGCTTGCATTTTGTTGCTTGCTTGCTCTTACCTTTTCCATCTGCCGTAAACTGCTTAATTTTATTATTTAAGTAGTCAGTCTGTTTTCCTCCCTCCTCCATTTTCCATATCCCAGCAACTCAGGTACATTCATAGTTCGTGTTTTTCTCTCTGTTCCAGTAAGCTGTTTGCTTTTCTGTCCCCTCCTTCATCCTCATTTTCATCACTGTCAGACACTGGCCCTGAGTAAAGTCAATTTTAGAGGTTTTTATCGTGATGAAATTGGACTTTCCATGCGTCTCTTCCTTTGTGTCTTCAAAACAAACTCTATTTATCTTCCAAAACTTCTTTCACATATCCTGTTATAGTATGTTGGGGGAGTATCCTACTGTTTCATTTGCTTCTTGAGGAAAAGGATTGTGTAGTATTTGAGACACTTAAACTCAGTTCTTTGCACAATCATAATATTCCTCTTTGAGCAAGTGGCTTAGGTCCCCATTTGTAGATTGTGATAGTATCTGTTCGCCCGTCTATAAATGTTATTGGAAGAATGAGTCCATTAAGATTCCATATGATTCAGGTTGATAGTGAAGGGAGGCTGTGTAACTGTTTTAAATATATACCTTGTTATCTTACCTATACTGTATTCTTATGTCTTCATCTTAAATTGCCTTGTCAATTGGACTGTCATTTGGACTGTCAATTGGACTGAGACAGTGAGGGATGTAGGAAGGACATAAGTCACTTGAGACCAAAATTAGTTTCACAGCTTAATTAAAAACACGTTTCCACTTCCTGTCATCTTCTCCTCCACCCCTCTCAAATGCAAGCAACATAACAGTACATTTAAAGCTACAAGATATAATGCAAATCAAGGAACTCAAGAAGCTTCTATTTTCATAGGAAATGCAGCTAATTTTATAGGTATATGTTTTCTCATTTTCTTTGTAGAAGCTCAGCTGTAAGCAAAGGCATAGAGCAGACAAGAACAAAGGGAAAGAATATATCACTTGTTCTACATGCTCTTTTACTAAGCAATTTAGCTGCAGGGATGAATAGTGATAAATTATTTCTTTATACATTATGAGGGTGTAACCCTTGTTAAGGTAAGCTTATAAAGTAAGGAATGTCACCAAGTACTTGTCTTCCATTAGAGTAGACTCTGAATCCTTAGGGATTGAACTGTGTCCCTCCTGTGCTTATGTCTTTGACTGCACAACAGAGCAGATTTCCATTTTTAGGAGGGATGCATTCCTGAAGAGTACTAAAATCTCTCAGGCCCCTATCCCACACTCGGAAAATAAAAAGATACAAGTCTTCACTTACACTTGTAGATCAGTTTACAAAGATGCTACTGAAGGCTTCCTCTAGAGTTGAGGCAACTCTGGATTCTAGCTTCTGTTTGTGCTTAATAAATAAAAAAAAGCCCCCCCCCCCCCCCCCCAAAATCCTAAATTAAGACTAACAATTGTCAATAGATTTTTGTAGCGTCAGTAGTGCTGAGAACATTGCTGTTCATGGCAACACGGATACCAAAATGTAAATTCTTCAGCACTGATTAAAAATTAATCATTGACAGTTTCCCTTCTTCCCATTGCACTCATTTTCATAGAATCCCAGATTGGTTTGGATTACAAGGGGCCTTAAAGATCGTCCAGTTCCAGCTTCCTGCCATGGGCAGGGACACCTCCAAGGCCCGTTCAGCCTGGCCTTGAACATTGCCAGGGATGGGGCAGCCACAGCTTCTCTGGGCAGCCTGTGCCACTGCCTCATCACTCATAGTGAAGAATTTCTCCTTTATATTTAATGTAAATTTACCCTCTTTCAGGTTAAAGCAGTTACCCTTTGTCCTATCAAAACATGTGGTTGTAAAAAGCCCCTCTCCAGGTTTCTTGTAGCCTCTTTAGGCATTGGGAACTGCTCTAAGGTCTCCCCTGAAGGAGTCTTCTCTTCTCCAGGCTGAACTAGCCCAGCTCTCTCAGCCTGGCTCCAGAGCAGAGCTGCTCCAGCCCTCCGATCATCCTCATGGCCTCTTCTGGACTCGCTCCAACAGCTTTGTGTCCTTCTAAAGTTGGGGCCCCAGAGCTGGACACAGTACTCCAGGTGGGGTCTCCCCTGAGTACAACAGAGGGGGAGAATCTCTTCCCTCGACCTGTTGCTCATGCTCTGGGGATGCAGCCCAGCACACAAAGAGGGGTTCTGGGCTACAAGCGCACCATGCCAGGTCATGTTGAGCTTTCTGTTAACCATCATCCCCAAGTCCTTCTCAGGACTGCTCTATCCAGTCTCTGCCCAGCCTGTATTTGTGCCTGGGATTGCCCCAGCCCAGGTGCAGGACCTTGCACATGGCCTTGCTGACCTTCATGAGGTTCACACGGGCTCACCTTTCCAGCCTGCATCCCATCCCTTCCCTCCAGCTTGCCAACTGCACCACACAGCTTGGTCTCATCAGCAGACTTGCTGAGAGTACACTCAATACCACCGTCCATGTCGCCCACAAAGATGTTAAAGAGTGCTGGTCTCAATATTGACCCCTGAGGGACACCACTTGTCACTGGTCTCTACTTGGACATTGAGCCATTGACCGCAAGTCTTTGCATGCGGCCATCCAGCCAATTCCTTGCGCACCGAGTCGTCCATCCATCAAATCCATGCCTTCCCAGTTTAGAGACAAGGGTGTTGTCTGGGACAGTGTCAGATGCATTGCGCAAGTCCAGGTAGATGATGTAAGTCGTTCTCCCATTATCCACTAATGCCATAGCCCCATCATCAAAAGCCACCAAATTTGTCAGGCATGATTTGCCCTTAGTGAGGCTATATTGGCTGCCTCCAGTCACCTCCTTAGTTTCTATGTGCCTTAGCACTGTTTCCAGGAGGGTCTGCTCCATGATCTTGCTGGGCACCGAGGTGAGACTGACTGGCCTGTAGTTCCCTGGGCCTTCCTTTTTCCTCTTTTTGAAAATGTGGGTTATGTTTTCCCTTTTGCAGTCAGAAAGAACTTTACCAGACTGCCACGACTTCTCAGACATCATGCATAATGGGAGCTTGGCAGCTTCATCTGAACCCGTGGATGCATCTTGTCAGGTCGCATGGACTTGTGCACCTTCAGTTTTCTTAGATGTTCTTGAACCTGATCTTCAACTACAGCAGGCAGTTCTTCACTCTCCCACAGACTGTTTTGGATTATGTCTCTGCCTTTACCTTCTTCTTGGGTGGTGTGGCTGGAGCTCTTGCCAGTGAAGAGTGATGCAAAAAAAATTCAGCCTTCTCCAAAGCCCAGGTGATCATGTCTCCTGTTTCCTTCCCATTTCCTTCCAGAGAGGGCCCACATTTTGGTCCTGTATAATGGTCTATGTGCCTGATACCATCTGATCTTGACCAGTAACTCTGTACCTTGAGACCAATGCTTCTGGGTGAGCAAGGGCATTGTTCCCCACTTACGGCTCTGTTGTCCGCAGGTTGCCCTCCAGGAAAAGTAATCCATACTGGCTATCTTCCTTCCTCCCTCTCCCCCTGATTTTTATTAGGTCGCATTGTAGGGATGCAACCATGATGAATATCTTCCTGTGTCAGGAAAATAATCTGTTTCATGCCTAGCTGAAATAATGGACATCTGAGAAACATTCTGTGCAGATTAGGGACCTCATCATTAAACTGAGTCAGTAGTTTGTCAAAATTAGTATCTTACTTCAGGTGTTAGTCTGCCTTTGCTGCCTAGTCATTTTTACTTACATATTTATCTGCTGCATTAAGCAGCCGTATGCCACCAGAACTATGGTTTTAAGTGTACTTACAAGATGTAACTATGTTATTCATAAAAAGTTTTCAAAATCTTTTGATATGGAACTGAATACCTTAGCATGTATTTATTGAGGAAAGCAACAACAACAAATTTATTTCACTTGATGGTTGTTTTTTTTTTTCTTTGTTTTGGTTTTGGTTGGTGTTTTGTTTTTTTCCGTGTCCTTTTATTTTCTTTTTCTCTCTAGGATAAAGTAAGGATTTCAGTATTTTAGAACTGAAAAATGTGCAAACTTAGCATTGCCATACGTTGGGCAATCCTCAGTTTTGGATTCAGAGTAAATGGTAACAGAAAGAGAAACATTGCATGTCGTAACAAGCTTGTGGTCAAAGCATTAATTCTTCAGCCTTTGACTTCAGAAGTTAAGTACACCTTGGCTAGCAATTTAATGATTTTGGCTGTGGTGCCCATTCTATTTCTGTCACCTCTCAAGGTATATGTACATTTCAGACTCGTATAGAGAAACTGTCTTTGGACTTCAGAAGCAATCTAATTACAGAACTCCACATGCATAAGGTTCGTGACTGGAGATTTTCTGTAGTGACAGTAGTGAATGCATAGGTAATAATCTTCACCAAGTATAGGGCTTATAGTTATTGGAGGTGTTTTGTTTTTCTTTCCAGAGTTAAGACCTCATCTAGGTTCATGTGGGTCCCCTTCCTGATTTACAGGAATTTGAATGTGAAATTCCTGCTGCGCAGAAAGGACATTTTGAGGTTATATGATTCTGGGGAGAGAGATGTTTCCTGTTAAAATCCTGATTTGCTTTAACTTACTTTCACATTCTCTGGAGCATAGAATAAAATTAAGGGTTAGGGTTAACCCTAAGGTTCAACAGTAAACTTTATACTTATTATGTAGTCTCTCTGGTTCCGTGTGTATTTTGTATTTAAACAAACCAAAACCACTTTGGCAGAAGTTCATTCTGTTACTGTATCGACTAGTTCAGTTCCTTGAGAGCTGGCAGTTTCTGTTCAGAAACAAGCATAGAAGGTATTGAAATGTGTATCATTACTGAGGGTTCTCACCATTGGACTGTTAGGCATAAATGTGGGATGCAACTGTTTCCATACTGCCTTTGTGAGTCTACTTATGAATCTAGTTTAAGAAAATGGAAGAGTTTACTGTAAAGATGTTTACTAAAAGATAACAAGCAATGCCCCCAGTTCCAGTCAAACATATTATCATAGAATGCTGGCACCTGAGTTCATAAATTCCAGGTTGATCAGAATTGTACTTTTGGCAAAAAAAATATCCAGAGCTACTTAAAGATTGTACCTTTAGCTTACGTTTTCTACTTTAGAAGTTTGAAACTCTATGGGAAATATACATCAGAACTAAAAATTATAAAATCAGTAATGTCTAAAATCTCGCAAAACAGGCTTTTGAGATTAAAAAAAAAAACAAAACATTGAGATGCTGTTTGCCAAGATTCTACGTGTTTTATTCTTTTTGAGCTGCTTGGCTTGATCCATACGAGTTCTTTTACAAGAGTGAAATGTTGTATAATGCTTGCATTAAACTGTAAATTAAGAAATATATGAATGAGTGGAAATCAGGGTTGTCAGAAAGCAAGTATTCCTTTATTGTAAATTAATATCCATTAAGTAATCTCTGTCTATGATTGATTTTGTGCTTAGAACCAAACAAGGCTATATTCTGGTGTGTACAAATGCACCTCCATTTGAAGTCTGTGCACTTCCAAAAGCTCCATGTTACTTTTGTCATCTGCTACTTTTTAAGCTAATACCAAAAATACATACAAATAAACAAAGTTAGTGTTGTATTGACATAAGACTGAAATGACTTTATAAATTCAACAGATTGTGTTACAGAGGAAGACTATAGCTGTAAATAAAAGAAAAATATCCTAGAGTATATTAGACACTGTTTTCTGTCTTCTACAGATTTCCTGTTCTTCAAGTCCAGCTGTAACATCAAGTTCTGGTAGCAGTAGTTCTTTATCTCCCCTTGGACCTCTCTGTAGACAGAGATCATTAGCAAATGGCATTTTGTGTTCTGAGTCTAGCACATCAGGTGTTTCTTCACCGACATCTAGCTATCCAAAAGCACCAGGCTTTGAAAGAGAAGATCAGGTACGTGAATAATACATACACATCAGTGTACAAATGTCTTAAATTAGATTTTGCGGGAAAGGTTGTCTGCCTTGTGTATCAGCGCTGATTTTTGATCATTTAGAACGCAGAGTTTGAATAATCATCTTTAGTGAGCTAAACTGCATCAAATTACAGTTGTCACAGGCCAAGAACACTCATACAGTCACTCCAGCTCAGAAGACATGCAATAAATTGTAACTTTGCAGAAATCTTACAGCTGTCACTTTAAGCTTGTATTGCCCAGAACAAAAGAAGGTAACAGTGGTGGTGGGGAAATTGTAGCTAGGCTTGGTAAGATTCAGTTTTAATTATTGTTGAAAATGGATGGTGAAAAGATACATTAATTTCTGGCTGTTGGTATTATTTATGAGTTCCAATCTTTGATTTAATTGCAATCTGTTTCTTCTCCCACCTGCAGCTGCCTCTCTCCTTGGACAAGTTAATTTTCCAGACAGACATAGGTGGTAAAATATAACAAGCCTCTTGAAGAGAGAGAGAGATCTGTAGCATTAGCAATGAGAGGAGAATGGTTGAAATTGCAGTTGATGAGCAGTTACAATCCTTTAGTTGGGGACTGGGGAGAAAATGGGCAATGTTAGAGACAGCTGGGAGAAGGGAAGACTGGTATTTTTCAGGGAAATGAAACAGCTCTGTTGGCCTGTGAGGAAAAAGCTGAAAGCATGGGATTTACCTGTTAAATCTAATTTTTTCTCACTCTGTTATAATACTGTTTACATTTCTGAATTGTCAGAAGGGACCTGTTCAAAAAAGGACCTCAAAAAACACATTTAAAAAGCTACAGCCAAGCTGTTCAGCCTTCTTGCAAACCTGTGATTTGTCAGAATTGATTTTTATAATGTGAGATGCACAGAGAAGTGCAGAAGCAAAAGATGGAGAATATTAAAGGAAGGAAAGTGTTGGTTTTTTTTCTTTTCAAATGGTAAGTTGTAGGTAATGGCAAGATCATTACTCTAAAGTTGTGCAGCTAGCTTTGCTTTCTTACATGTACATGTTCAGACAGGCTATAAGTTAGAGAGCTGGTCATTGTGACAGGAAAATTTCAGTTTCCCTATATGTAGGGATCAAATGGTCATTGATCAGATTTTGCGGAAGCAAGGCAGTTGCAGTGTCAACTGACTGCTTTCTGAACGTGAGACAGCGATAATTGCGAAAGAATGTAACCGTTGGTGGAGATCTATTTTGCTGGTTTTAGTGAGTAATATACTGCTCCAAAGAATGTGTCTCAGCAACAGAAATGTCATGTACTTGCCTTTTAGTGTCCACATTGAAGTTGCCTAGTGATGGACTTTGCAACTGAAAAAATAGTTTCTAAAATGGTGGGCATATAAAGAGGGAGGAGAGCTGTTACTGCTTGGGAGCTTTCACTACAAGACCGCTTCTCCAAAAGGAAAGAAAGAATTGACACAACAAGGCTGCTTAAAGGCAGCAAAAAGAATTGTCTTTTCCGAGGGAGAAGAGAGCACCTTACAGAGTTTACAGCAGTTTTAGGAAGTCACTGAAAATTACTGGTCTGAAAATAAAGAGATCCTTGGATCCTGCTCTGCAGGAACACAGTGGGCAAAGAGAAATTGCTTAGAATTGTTTTATTTAAGTGTGTCTCATGTTTTTCATGAGTTACCTTTCATTCATAGAATGGTGTTCAAAGAAAATTTGCACTTTGATTTTTTTATTTTATTTTATTTGTATTTATTACTAATCACTTCATGGGAAAATCTAGGGAGTTCCACTCAAACTTGGTAATCTCGGACTTCTATCCCTCCAGCCTCTTGGAGAAGTATTCCTCAGTTGGTGAGCATATGGGACATGTTACTTCTGTCACAGCAGTAACATGTCGCATATGCTAACATGGCTGCTCAGCATGCTAACATAATGCTAACATGGCTGCTCAATTTTTGGACCAGAAATAACTTGCATGGGCTCAATTATGCATCTAAGTGGAGCAACCGCAACTGCTGTTCCTTTTCCATGTAGATTTACTCTATGATCATTAAAATTTAGTTATCCATATGGGAGTGCAGTGAGGGAAATTAAGTCAGCCTGTTGAAGATGTCATTACAGAGATGTCCCTGACCCTTCATAAACTAGTAATATATTTTACAGCAATGACTCATTAAGTTCATATATTACAGAGATTATTGTTCTTCCAGGCAAAGCATCGAAGCTTCCCAGCTGAGAATCGGCAGAAATCAAATGAACAAAACAACAAGCAGGTATTGCCAAAAGCTAAATGCTGTAAATATTTTTCCTTTCTAATAATTTATTAAAGCACTATGAAAGTTATGTGGCACTTTACAGCATAGTCTAAGTAAAATTTGTGCCCAGTGTCAGCACAAGAGTCACTGGGCACAAACTGAAACATAGGAGGTTCTGTCTAAGCGTATAAAAATAGTTTTTACTGTTCATGAAACACCATTGGAACAGGCTGCCCAGATAGCTTGTGAGGTCTCCCTCCTTGGAGTTAATGCAGTTAATGCTGTCTGAACATGGTCTTGGACAGCAAGCTGTAGATTCTGTGGAAATGTACAGTGGTTGGGTACTGCAGGGAGTAAGAGGGGTGAGAAGATTATGAGGCAATTTGGGGATGCTTTTGATTCTAGCAATTCTGTGGCATAGTTTTTCACAGTGAAATTCTTGATTAATGTGATTTGAGGATGGATTGATAAAGTTTAAGGAAGGCCAAAAGGAGGATGATGATACAGTTGTTCAAGTGTCAGATCACAGAATAATAGAATCACAGAATAGTTTGGGTTGGAAGAAACCTTCAAAGCTCATCTAGTCCAACCCCCCTGCAGTGAGCCGGGGCATCTTTCTTTAGATCAGGTTGCCCAGAACCACATCCAGCCTGGCCTGACATATCTCCAGGAATGGTACATCCACTGCCTCTCTGGGCAAACTGTGCTAGTATTTTACCACCCTCACTGTAAAGAATGTTTTCCTTACATCCAGTCTGAATTTTGCCTCTTTTAGTTTAAAACCATCACCCCTTGTCCTGTCACAACAGGCCCTGCTAAGAAGTCTTTCCGCATCTTTCTTGCAGGCCCCTTGTAGCAACTGAAAGTCCCCAAGAAGGTGTCCCTGGAGTTTTCCTCCAGGATAAACAACCCCAACTCTCTCAGCCATTCCTCACAGAAGAGGTGTTCCATCCCTCTGGTCATTTTTGTGCTCAAAAACAGTTAGTGACAGGGAAGAGAGCATAGTTTTGACCTGTGATGAGTCTAACACTAAGTGTTAGAGGTGATTCTATATGTGCAAAGGAGCTTAAAACTCTGCCATCTTTGCACTGCTAGAACAAGAACCCTGCTGCTTTGCTAATGACAGTGATCAGGATAAATGAGAACAGAAGTTCTACCGTTTGCCATTCATGCAGTCATACAGGAGTGTATAAACTGAAGTGGAGGATTAAAATGTGTGTTACATTTAAAAAGCAGGAGGAGTGGTGCTGAATAAATAAGGAGAAAAAGCACAAGATAAAGGTGGATCCTGTGACTTCTGTATGGAGCAGTGAAAGCACGTGAACCAGTTTAAAAGTATACATTGGGTCTTTTCCTTTACACATCTATAAATCAGGGAGAGTGGCAGCCTTGGAAACTCTTCACATTTTTTGTGATTTGCCCTAAAAAGTGTTTCTGCATGACTTTCTACCGCTAGAAAGAAGTAGCACAGGTATAGGTCATTATCTACTGTGATGTATGTGTGCAGTGCAGTCATGTTTCTTGGTTGTCTAAAACAAAGATCAGTTTATGCACCAACTGCATTTAGATTAAATGAGAAAATTTAGAGACCAAAACTCCAATATAGAATATAATTTGTGTGTGAATGCATAATGAAATGGTACGATTCCTAAGATATTTGATATTTTCCCTTTGAAAAAGAGCATCATACTTCAGCTGACTAATTATGTTATTATATAATTATGAGCTTATTTGCTAGCATTTAGATACATTTTTTCTGAAAGCAGAATTCCATTGTATGGTAGTGATGTCCAGACACATTGGAGAAGCGCATTTGCTGATAAATGATAAGTGAAATTATCCTAATGTATTAATTCAGAGGGTGGTTCTTTTAAAAATGCATTATTTATTTTATAAGTTTGTACATACATATGTGTAAAAGTGTGGTTTTGTGTGATTACATATACTGTTTGTTTCTTTTTAACAGAACCATCTCAGTGTTTTTTCAGCCATTAACCCACTTGCTTCACATGTAACTTCTAGTCTGGCCTCCAGTGTTGGATCAGATCGTTCATCTCCTATAGCTGTCCCTTCTATTACTGCCAAAGCTCTCCCATTCTATTCTGGCAGTAACACAGTTGAACCAGTTGTTGGTAAGTCTTAACATCTAATCTCTGATTGTAATATTTAGTTGCATTATTCAAGTTCTTCTTGTTTCAGTTTAGATTCAAAGAACTTACTGGTAAAGAACATATTATTACATATGACATTATATGGCAATATCTGAAATTTAATGTAAATACTTGAACCCCAAGTTATTATTTTTCACCAAGTCTCCACTGTGAGCATAGGAATGAGTGAATAGGACATGTAAATTGGAATTTTAATCTTTGTGTTAGCCAGTGATAAAAAAAATGTGTCAGACTTTCATAATGCGCCTCCTGTTGCTGGAAGTACTGTCTCTTCAACTTCTGTTGGTGGGCTGATGAGATTTGACTTTTCTTAATGTTAAAATAGCAGGTGCAGTTACAAATCTTGCCATGTTCTTGCGGTATGGCTGACTGCATATTCTTCATTCTGGTTATTTGTATGTTCAGGGACAAAATCTTTTGTTCACACTATGTGGACCAGATCTGAAAGGACACAAGAAGGAGGAGCCCTTCCTTTCTGGGTGCAAAAGACAGATTCTGGGAAATAGTCCCAAAATTTCTATTATTAGCCTGAAGCTTTTCCTGTGCCTCCATCCAGCTGGGCTGTTTGTGTGGAAAATGGTAAAAGGCAATAAATATTTCAATAATAATTAGACGCTGGGAACTGCAAAACTACTCATGGAATTCCTGCTATGGTCTCACGGATGCTGGATAGAGAGGAATAACCACTTCCCCCAATCTGCTGGCTATACTTTTGCTAATGCAGGCAAATACTGGTGCATTAGCTTTTATTGCTGTGGAATATGCTGAACATGTTCATCAGAATTCCTAGATCTTTTTCTGCAGTGCTGTTTTCTGATCAGCCTGTACTGTTGCAAGGGATTATTCTGTCCCAGGTGCAGCATTATTGTATTTGCCTTTGTTGAACTTCAGGAGCTTTCTGTCAGCCTAGTTCTCCAACCTTCTGAGATCCCTCTGAGGGGCAGTCTTGCCATCAAGTGTTATCAGCTGCTTCCCTTAATTTAGTGTTACCCACAAACTCATTGAAATTTGTGGCACTTTTGCACTAAATGTGATTTATTCAGGAGGCTGTGGCAGGGAATGTTGTGATTTGAAAAATGCACTATTTCACATTCTGTGATATAAGTCATGTGATCAGGGAGTTGCTGTCATTAGCTGGTGTACTTTAAGCTTTCTGTGTTTAAATTGATGTGTAGCAGCAACCAGGAGACTGCAGACAGTGAGTCAGCACTTCAGCATGGTAAGTTAGGCATTCACTCTTAATTTTTTTAGGAAAGAAATTATGCAGAATATTAAATGATGGATCTTTTTCTGCAGTCTCACATGTGTATAGCTTGCTTTCCTTAAATGTTTGTTCAATGATCTTGTTTTAGACAAAAAATAAATTTTGACTCTAATTTCAGAATTAGAATGACCAGAATTTTAGTTTTTATTGGATGCAAATAATATAATTTAATTGGCTGACAGTTATTTTAAGATATGGAATGAAATCACATTTTTGTCAAGATAAACATTGCTTCTGAAATAATCAAAAGCTAATTGACTGTAAGAAGTTACTCATACAGTAAGAACCATGGTCTAATTTCTGTATACTGGATGTGGTGCTAATTCAGTATAATTTAAAAATTGTGATACACTAAACAAGTGTTGCAGAATCATTAAAACAGTGATATGCTATGTTTCGCATATCCTAGTGTGATTATATTATTGCACATAAGAGACTCTTGATTCGAGATAGAATATGCCTCTGCTCTCTGTTGATGACTTTATACATCAGCTTTCAGTATACTGTGTTTGTTAACAGAATATGTATCATAAAACACACCTCATGTATGTATAAGTTAGTATACTTTATGGTAACTGTGTAGATTAGTTTTTTTTTCATTAAAAGAATTTCATATATATATATAAATTATTTTTCCAGAGTTCTGTTTCATGGATATATGGGATGGCATTGAGAATAGTGTTGCATGTAATCTGAACAGAGCAGAAAATTAAGACATTATTGTCATGCAGAAAATACATTTATAGTGTTCTTGTAGAAAGTCACAAAAAAGGAATAGAAAATGAGCTGCAACAAGGGAAGGGGCTTGGTGATTATGGGAAAAAGCAATGAATGGGTTTGGAGAAGGATTAGGGAAAAGTCAGGAGAGTTATATTAGCAAGGCCTAAAGAAACTTTGTCAGGCAGTGGGGTCTATAGCCCTTTCTGGGGCCCTTTATCTTGATCTCCTGGGGAGTTACAAGCCCTCTCTGTCTGCTCCCTGAATAATAGTCCCCCAGAGCTGGGGCAGAAAAGGGTGCAAGTCAGACCCATCAGACAGAACTAGTATTTAGCATAGAGGCTTGGACAATATGTTCAAAGCTGAGGAATGATGGAGTAGAAGGTACATTGTTGCAGTCTTCTCCTCTCAGGGAGATTGGTTGAGTTGCCTGATTTTGTTCTAGTGAAAAAGAAAGAAATATAGTCAGAGAACATAAGAGCTGCAGGGTATTTGAAATCCTCTTGAAAACTTAAAATAAATTAAAAAAACCCACCCAAACAAAAAACAACAAACAAAACCCCACACCCAAAAACCAGACAAAACCAAAACAAACAGAAAATATCAATGAAAATTTTTTTTAAGAGAATAGAGACATTGGATAAGAAGAGTGTCAAAGGAGACAGATTTGAAGAGGAATAAATAAGGAATGGGCAGTAGTGAAGGGAAATTACTCCATTGATAGTAGGGAGAAAGCGGGACATCTGCCATCATCTGATACTCCACCCTGTTGTCTGTGTTAGGTTTCTGTGTAGACCTCCCCTTGGGAATGTTTTGGTTGCTTCTGTTGCTTTCTGTTGCGTACTCAAGTGTGGGGATTTTGCCTGTCTGGGAAACTTGCCATTCAAGGAAAATTGGTGTTTCTCCATTTGCTTCCCATATATGTTGTTATCTTAAGATGTTGTCTGTGTTCTTTCCCTGCACTCCACTGACTTTCCACCATGTGATGTGAAATCTGAGAGAACCAGAAGGTAACAGAAATTAAGCTTTGAAAATCCAGATAATAAACACTAAGGAGACAAGTCCATCCTTTTTGTGGTAGGGGAGGACAGGTGTGGCAGAGCGAGTTAAGGCCTCATGAGGAGAGCATGACAGGTTAATGATTAGTAGGGTGCAGGCTTAGATTTGATCTGCTATTTGAGCAGCATGATTTATGTCAGCCTCGTGGTTTTTTCCTGCTAGCAACATACTGAGCCAGACGTCACAAATAACTTAAAATATTAACATATGAGTGGTGTGGGGAATTGCAAGACCTTGGGAAGAACCCCGGTTTGTTTTCCTGTTTCCCTGTTTAAAGGTAATGATGGTGCTAATGATGGGATTTTAAAGCCTCTCTTTTCATGATTGAGAGAATTTTGAATTTTTTGAAAGAAAGTGGAACAGCTTCACTGGAAGTGAGAGGGATCTCTCCCAAAACATCCTGCAGCGTAGTGATGAAATGTGTGCTCTCACAGGTGTATGGTTGTTTTGCATGGAGGAAGTTGAGACAAGTTCACATGTGGGAAAATTTATTAGTGGGTGGCATAGCAGATGGCACATAATGGTGAAAATTATTTCTAAACAAACGAAGAAACGTAAGAGTGAGAGAGGAAAGGGGAAGAGAAAACTGTCCTAGTGGCTGGGTGGAAATAGAAGTGATAGGCAGGCTTGGGCATCCACTTAAGTGCAGCAGCTGGTTCTCTCCCACATAATACTTTTCCTATACTAACCGTGTTAACTGTAGTTTTTCACCAAGACTGTCCCAAACTCCTTACGGGCTCTTTCTGCTTCTGATGTTAGTAGTATTAATTGGAGCACGCTTTGGTCAGTGGATGATGTTGCGTGCTAATTTGTTATTGAGATGTCCGGAGATGTTGTAGGGTCCCTCTAATGTGAATGAAAAGTTACAATCAGAAGTAGGAGAAGAGGAGAAAAGAAGCGTGATTCTCACGCCAGCGGCAGTCATTTCCCCTAAGAACCTACCATAGCAGTGCTCTGAGGGTTGGTAGGTGCCGCCAGATGGTGAGCATAGCAAGATGGTGAACGTGAGAACAAGAAAGGAAACACATACTGCCTCAGAGACTCTGGAAGGCTCTACCAGTGCAGTAGGGTGAAAGGGCAAAAGAGACAGACTACAGTGTTGCAGATGAAAGACCCTTACTTATATAAGGCGAAGGTAGGGAAGGCACAGTGCAGCAGTGGGGATCCAAAACCCAATACGGAAGAGGGACTTTTAAGCTGGGTTTCACACAGCGCTTGTGGCCACTTGATGTCATCAAATAAAAGGAGGCCATCTCTCCCATCCTGAGTGTATTTTATAGAATGACAGGCTTGGGCACCTGTCTCCTAGAGAAGGTTATTGCTGGAAAACTTTAAAAACCTAGGGTATATCCCTTCAGGCCAAAATGATGATGTAGAGATGAACTTCCTTCCTCTGACTGCTGGACACTAAGCTGCTCTGTCAGTACTGCTGGAAGATAAGTGTTATTGTTAGGGCACAGCTCCATACTGATAAAGTTGTGTTGCTTTTGAGACCTAGATTAGTAACTCTTCACAAAGAGCTATGTTAACTCTCAGGGATCTTTGTCATGAGTGTCATTATGTAGTATGTAAACTTTATCTCTTGGCTCATATTTTGTTCTGGACAGCTTAGGCAGCTTTCTGCTGAGCACTGTTCTGTGGATCCTGCTTCTAGGTCACTAATTCCCTTTATGTATCATCTGGAGCTCCAAGTCTGTGGAGTCCACTAGATAGCCTAGTCAACATCAGAAAATGCCTATATGTTGTCACGCTGTGCTATATATGTATTAATGATCCAAATGGTACTTTGAATTTCAGACTTTTAGAACCTTTACAACTGTATAGTACTTCTGCCAAAGATTTTCTGCCATTTAAAGCACATATTGTTTAGGACTAGGCTATGAGAGAGGAATCAGTCTAATTCCAAAGGGATTGAGTGATCTCTTTTGGATCTTATTGAAACTTTTACACAAGCCAGTGTGTCTTTAATTTCTGAGGGTTCCTTTTCATTTAGGCTTTGTGCCAGTTTGTAATAATGATTTTCAACATAAAAATATTCTTCATAAAGGTGATCGCTATCACTGACCACAATGACTGGGATATTCACTTTCCTGCCTGCAAAATCGGTATTTCTGCAGACTTCTCTTGTGTCTTCCTGATTGTGGAGTTGTTCAACATTAGATAAAGTATAGGAACAGAGTGATAAATTCCTTAATTACACCCCTTTCTGCACAGAAAAGAAGTTAAGAGGAGAAAGGGAAAAAAACTCGTCTTCTCACACTTTATAAGCAGTGGACCTAATAAGAAGTATACTGTTTAGAACTTTGTCATTGGCCAGAGAAATCTTAGACTGATATAAGACATTATGAAAGGCAGTCTAACTGTTCAATCTAAAAGGAATATTGATATTTGAATTTTAGTTAATTTATTTTAAAGTATTGCACATTTTCATTTAATATTGTGACATTCTTTACATCTGTATGCCCTGATATGTAACTCTGTTACCCCAAGGGCTAATTGTTATAAGGGACATTTGCAGTCTTTCTGCAGGTTTCATACCTGCTATTATTCAATAGTAATAAAATGTACCTAAAATAAATAGTACCTAAAAATAGGCATCTAAATTTTGTTTTTCCTCTTTTTCTGTTGATGTACGTGTAAGCACACCAGGTGACACAGATTTCTTAAAAAAAACAGATAAACAGCCATCTATTCCATTATTCTCTGTTCATCTCACCAACTTAAAGAGCTGTAATAGCTTATATATGAGAGTTTTCCCTTTTAGTAAACACAGATATCCTTCACTGTGTGTCTGTAGTGTGCTTAAGACCATGACCTAGATGCAAAAGTGTTCCATGAAGGAAGCACTAACAAAAATAGTCAAACTTTTCTCATTTCAGCCGTCGTGATTTATGGGTAATTCAAGGATAATGTATTGATACAATGTTTTGTTTAACAGGTTCTGGTTTAGATTTGCATTTTAATGATGTGAACGTTGCATCTGTAAATAGAGACTTAGAAGATCAAGAAGGCAGTGACCTTGGATTAACAAGTAAGAGGTCCAATTTGTAAAATTATGCTAATTTAAAATATCTTTCTTTTCTGGCTTCCTAAACTTTTACTCATCAAAATAGTTACAGACAGCAAAGACTTTGAAGAAAACCCCTTAGTTTTGTTCTGGCTGTTTAACATCAAGAAATTAAAATGACACCTTTTCTTTGTGTAAGTAGGAAAGAGAAAATAATTTAGATAAAAAAAATAGAAAGATAGTAGGTGAAAGGTGAGGAACTATAACCCTTTGAGAGATACAGCAAGAGAACAGACATGTTTTTATAATACTTTATTTTCTGATACCTGTTTTGCTAGCATTTCTTTGAAGGAGGTCTGCAATGATTAAGTTGGTTGTGCCTATGTGTTGGGCTTCCAGTTGCACAAACAGAACTGTATTCTTGGATGGCAGGCATGTCAAAGGGTAAAACAGCTATAGCTACACCCTAGTTCATTATTGCTGTCCCTTGCTCCAAGTAGAAAAGCTTGCGCTTAGTGTCTCTACATGTTATGCAGTTCTTCTTCCTTTAAGACAATTATTGTATGTTTAGTCCATGGTCTTTAAAAAATATACAGATGTATCTGATTTTGTTGAAATATGTATGCTGTCACTGGGACTGCAGTGGATAGGACACTACCCAAGTATTACAGATTCAAGCCTTTCGTAAGGCTTGGAAATCATTTTGACCCAAGTGAATATCAAGTGCCTTCACTCCCTCAGAAAAACATAAAATATAAGCAACTGTAAGTTGCTTCTTTTCAGAAATAATACACGCCCAGAGAGATTCTGTTTCAAACTTTTCCTCCTCCAGGTGCTTCCTTTGCAGTGAAAGGAGACAGTTTGAGGCAAGATCACTAATTTTATCACCCCAGTAGAGTGTGGATACATGAAGCTTCAGAGCAAACAGAATTAAGGAAGGTTACTTGGTTCGGAATGAACTTTTTGACTTCGTCACCTTGCTAATTTGAAGGTTGGCAGAAGATGCCTCACATAAAGTGACTGGTGACATGTTTCTGTCTTCAGATCTGAGCAGAGCATTTGGGGAGGCAGCTTACAATTCACATTTGGTGGTGTTGATGCTTTGGCATCAAGTTAGATATAAACAGATTGTAGCAGTGGCTTCATTATTGATAGCAAGAGCAAGAGGAAACACGTGCTAGATAAAACGGATTAAGAAGTTTCTGACGCCAAATACTAATTTCTGGGATCTTGAAAGCAGTGCTACAAGCGGTGGTGCCTCTCCTACCTTGACTTTGTTTCTTCCCAAGGTGGTTCTTTTTCTACTAGAGACTGTATTTGTAGTACCTGTATACTTCAGGTTATTAGGCAATCTGTACAGAATGACCCAAAATGTTACAGTCTCAGTAGGCAGTCATCTAGTTTTATGCAGATTCTTGTCAATAATTTAGTGGGAAGATCTTCAGAACTTTTAGGGCTTTACATTTATTTTGGTTGATTGACTTACAATTTTCTGTCTAGTGATGATGGTAACAGGTTGTTCCTTCACAAGAACAGTTTATACGTTATCTATAAATGTTTTCCATTGTTGTTCCTGATACTCCCATTCATACAGACCTGGAAAGAAACTGATAATGTGTGCAATTTCACATGTATTCCTCTGCTAGTCATGATGGGTTCAACAGTTCTCCTGCTGCTGTAGTTTGCTTGACTGGTATTTAATTTACTGCCTTGTTCTATGCTGCAGAAATGATTATGTGCCATTGGAAGTACCATGAAGTATGGAACAGGAAGGAAATAATTTTACTTGTATCTGGAGGATATAGTTCATGCAGTGTAACAGGTTGACCTTGGTGGGTAGCCAGACACTCATCCAGCTGCTCTCTCACTCTTCTCCTCAGCAGGACATGGGGAAAAAAGTAAGATGAAAAAACTTACGGGTCAAGATAAAGACAGGAGGATCACTCAGTTGCTGTCATGGGCAAATAGACTTGATTTGGGGAAAACTCATTTACTGCCAATTAAAACAGTTGGATGGTGAGAAGCAGAGAAAGACTAAACCAACCCCCTGCCAGGCACCTTTTCCCCAGGTTCAACTTCATTCCCAAATCTTCTACGCCTTCCTTCCTGTCCCAAGCAGCGCAGGAGGATGGGGAATGGGGGGCAGTGGTTAGTTCATAATAGCTCCCCTCTCCTACTTCTTCCTCACACTTGTCCCTGCTTCAGTGTGGGTCCTCCCCATGGATCACAGTTCCTGTCAGAAGAGCCTGTGCCAGCATGGGCTGTCCATGGGCTGCGGTTCTTTCAGGCAACATCCACCTGCTCCAACCCGGTCCTGTCCACAGGCTGCAGAGAAATTCCTGCTTTTACTGTAGTCTCTTCCACAGGGTGCAGAAAATACCTGCTCTTACTGTGGTCTCTTCCAAACCTGCCATGGGCTGCAGGAGAATCTCTTCTCCAGGCAAAGTATGCTTTGGCCCCGGGGCACCTCCTTCCCTTTGTTTTTTTCCTGACCTTGGTGTTCACAGGACTGTTTCTCATACCTTTTGTTTCTTCATCCTCTGCCTGTGTGACATTTTTTTTCCTTTTCTCAAATACATTCTCTCAGAGGTGGTACCACTGTGGCTGAAGGGCGCACTGTGTAATGCAGCAGATTTGCTGGAGCCATCTGGAGCTGGCTGTGCTTCTCCTAGCCATCCCTGCAGCACTGTCTCCCCCCTCAACCTTGCCCTGTGAACTCAAGATATGCAGCCAGGTTGCATTTGCCAAAATTCAGCTGTATTTGAATATTACTTTAAGAACCAGAAAAGAGATGGTTCTTCTGTTACCATTCCATGTTGTTTGGGTGCTTTATTTTGGCTCTTAATTAGTTTTTAAAAGAATTCTTACTTGGCCATTTTTTTTAACAAACTCCCTTTATTTTGTTGCTTCCTTGCTCTTGTTGTGAAAAGTGATATACTTTTATTGTCTGGTGTATTACCTACATCTGTGGTTATATGTGTGTCCTGTATCTTCGTCATATATTTATTCATGAGGCTGACCTTGGTAACATTTACTGAGTATTTCAAGATACTTTTGTTTTTTTAAGATATTGTGGCAGTGCAGCTTATGATGAGCATCCCTATCTTTTTGTTTTGAAATACTTCTGAAAGGAACGATGCCCCTGATGATATGGATTCACCTGTTTTAAGCAAAACCAGAAAACTAGAATCATGACCCTTGCTTTAAGCATTTGACTTTTAGGTTTGGGATTGTTTTAGAGAAAAAGTAGTGTCATTTTTAGTTGCTAGTCAAATATGTTGATGAATAAAACCTTCAGAGTAAATATTGAACTGTTTCCTGACCATGAAAACACATTGCATCTGTGCTTTTTTATGTAAGTAATTACATAATTTATCTACTTTTTTAATACTTACTATTGTCATTTGTCCTGGTTTCAGCTGGGATAGAATTAATTCGCTTCCTAGTATCTGGTGCAGTGCTGTGTTCTGGCTTTAGTCTGAAAACAACGCTGATAACACAATGATGTTTTAGTTGTTGCTCAGTAGCGCTTACCCTGTTCAAGGACTTTTCAGTCTCTCACTCTCTGCAGTGAGAAGGGCACAAGAAGATGGGAGGGAGCAGAGGCAGGACACTTGACCCAAAGTAACCAAAGGGGTATTCCATACCGCAGCACATCGTGCCCAATATATGAACTGGGGGGAGTTACCCAGAAGGGACCAATCACTGCTCAGGTCAGGCTGGGTATCACTCAGCGGGTGCTGAGCAATTGTATTGTGTATCACTTGTGTTTATTGTTTTCTTTCTTTTGCTTTTTAGTTTTATATCTCTCTCCTTGTTATTTCCCTTAGTAGTAGTAGTTGTAGTATATTTTACTTTATTTTAGTTACTAAACTACTCTTATCTCAACCCACAGGTTTTACAATCTTCTGATTCTCCTGCCCATCCTATCCAGGGAGGGGTTGGGGTGGGTGAGTGAGCAGCTGCTTGGTACTTAGTTGCTGGCTGAATGTAAACCATGACATCATTATTTTTGGAAATTATGAACAATACATTTGTTTGACTAAATTATTATTAATTTTCACTTTATTTCAAATTCAGTTTTTATAGAGAGTTGAGTACATTTGACAGGTAAATCTATTGAACAAAAGCAAAAGTATGTAAACGGAAGAAATTGAGCTATATGTCTGTAATTGCTCTGCGTATGATTTTCAAGGTATGTAGTTTCACTTGCTTAACCAAAATACATATTTTTCTTAATTCTTCAAGTTCCCGTCAGTTTTTCCACTTGCATTAGTTGTTGGCTGTGTAAAAATGAGTAAGCGGAATAACTTGATCTGAAAAGCTTTTCTTTGTAGCTGCAGATGAGGCCACTGCTGTATAAAGCTACAAATTCTGTTTTGCTGGCACTAGGGAAACTATTGCCTGAAAATGTTCAATTTCAAGTGTTCAATTTAAAAAAAATATTTTTGCAATAGGAGATAAAGGTTGGGTTTTTTTAATGGAAGATGTTTGAATATGTAATTTAACTTACATTTGATATGTATTTCAGAAAATTGCTTACAGAAAGCTGTGTACTGGTTTGGAACAAATGGGGGTTTTGTTTTTGTTCTTTCTTCCCCTACGTGTACATAGGTCAAAGATTACTGGGAAGTTCAGCACCTGTCAGTATTCCAGGTTCTCTTGTTCGTTCCTCATCTTTACATTCATCATCATCCCTTTCAACTTCTCCACTCAGTTCTCTTTCACAATCGCTGTCTCAGTCTTTTGTTTCATCTGCTACGGCTCCTTTCCACCAGTTGCCTTTGAAGACAGAACATAGCATGTTAGGCACCTCAGCCTCTTCTCACAACTCTTTAGGTAAGTAAGTTGAAGGCTGCACTTTGTGTATTGAAGAGGGAACTTAATAGCAGGTAAGAAATGTTCAGTTCAAAGCTTTGCATGTTTCTCATGACTTCATCTGGACAACAAAGCCTTGTGGTTGTAATTGATCACACGACTGATAATGGAGTATATGTGGTATGTGGGAGAAAGTTCAGGGAGTGAACTTCTGTTCCTACTGAAGGGAAAAAAGAATTCTTGGAAGAGGAGATATATTTAGAGGTGTTTGAAAGGAGTAAAATATAGAGATTGCATACAGGCAGCAAGAATGCATTTTAGCTGCAGCATTTTGCTAAAGGAAAATGCAAAACAGAGAGAGAGGAAGAACTAAAATTACATATGAGCTGCTAGGAACAAACCATTTTGTATGTAAATGAATTCTCACTCTTCCTTCTCTTTTTGTGGACTGTACTTTTATTAAAAGTGGCAAGAAAAAAAAAGTGGTAAGTCTCCTGAATTGCTGAAAATACCAAAAACATTTTCCTGACTGTCACATTTCTGAAGGTAGTGAAATAATGTTATGAGTCTTTCAGATGGAAGTATGTATTTTGCATATATGGCACATCTGTTTTATTCAGATGTGAAACATTTTGCAGCAGTGTGTGCATAATAATTGTTTTTTTCTGCCTTTGTTTTTACAGGTTTAAATGGTGTTACAGGGAGCACTTGGGACTTCATAACTGAGAATTTCTCTCCTAGTCCATCCCCAGTGCTAAGCAGTGGCACTACCCCCTCAATAAGTTCAAACACAACTGGGAATGAACTAACTCAAGTTAGACAGGAACTTGATGATGCCAAGAGAAAACTAAAACAATGGGAAGAATCTTGGCAGCAGGTAAAACAGGTATGCTAATTTATGGTAATATTAAATTATATACCTGTATATTTTAACAAGCAAGCAGTTACTACTCTTTTTCATTTTTATGTATCTTCTTATCCTTGGACACAGTTTTATTACAGTCTGTCAAAGGAGTGTTTTTCCATCCTTGAAATGCTAGCAATATAAAGGAAACAGCTGTTTAAAGGGCAGTTTATTTTCCCAAGGTTAAGCTGCCTGTCTAGACAGGGACACTTACACATATTCAGGATAGTGCTGTACAGCAACGTGTCTTGATGTTTCAGTAAGGAAAGATATGTATTCCCTCCCATAGCTCTTTTACATGGTAAGCATGCAAAAAAAGTAGAGGCTTGTCAGCAGCCATGGGTGCATAGTGTGCCTGGACAGTATGTAGCCACCTCAGTAGTCAGACCGAGGTTGTTGATAGCTGCCAGTCATGCATTTTCTGTAGTCCTTTCCTTCTCCTCATGTTGTTCTCTCTATGACGAGGAGTAGCTAAACTAAATTTTGATAGTTTTTTTTATGTCTCTTGACATTAAATTACAAATTTAACATCTAAAATATGTTTTGTTTATAGACCTCCCAAAAGGCTTCTGGCTATTTACAGACAAGTAACCAGTGACATATCTAAAAATCACATTACAAATTACAAAACAAGAAGAGTTGTTATTTAGAAGGTAGGATAAGTAGGAAGAAGTGTGAAATGGACAGTAAATGCATTGTTATGTTTTTTTGCCTTTTGACTTTTTCTTATTTTGTTAATTTAAAAAAAAATTATATTCTGGAAATCTCTTTCTCCCAGGCATGCGATGCATGGCAGAAAGAGGCTCAAGAAGCAAAAGAACGTGCTAACATCGCAGATGCCGACAAACAGCTCGCTCTTCAGAAGAAGGAGGAAGCGGAAAGCAAAATAAAAAAGCTAAAGGCGCAATTAGCTGCTTGTCTGTGTACTACACTGCCTTATATGAAAAACTGTGGTGATATAGATAAGATATCCTTGCCAAAGCTTCGTTCCTTACAAAATCGGCTGCACTCAGATTTAGAAACAATAGATGAGGTGAGTTTATTCATCTGCGTAATTATTTTTGATTAACTGAAAGTGGCAGCTCAATAACCTTCAATGAAATTTTTATGCCAGGTTTCATTTCAAAGAGCAATATTGCTCTAAGACTTAATGTCTGTTTTTTCATCCTGTATTCATCCTATAATAGAGGATGCAGTAGATTTCTCAACCTAATGGATTCTTCTAAGAATTTGTTCAGCTATCAGAACAAATTGCAAGTGATTCACAAGAATTCTTGGCTGATTAAAAAAAAACCAAACAAAACCTTTAAAGCTAGCTTTTACCCCTAACATTTTGGACACTAGCTAAATAAATAAAAATAGTTGCCCTAAACAAATGAAAGTAGTTACATGCTTTTCACTTCTTCAGAAGGTGAGTGGTGAGATTCCCTGGTAGGACTTTGTGTCAGAGTGGCCACTAGTGGAGTGGAGAATCGTTAGAAGGGATGTCTGCTAAAACCAGAGTCTACTTGAGCAGGTTGCTCAGGGCCTTGCCTGGTGGTGTTTTGAGTATCTCCAAGGATGGAGAGCCCACTGCCTCAGAGGGCAGTTTTTTCCAGTGTTTGACTATCCTCACAGTAAGGAATGTTTTTTCTTACATCTGTGTGGGATTTTAATTTGTACCCGTAGGCTCTTCTTTCATTGGGTACTACTGAAAAGAGTCTGTCCCTGCCTGTTTTACTCTCTCCCATCAGGTATTTATACAGACCAGTCAGATGCCATCTCTTTGAAAAGGCTATGCAATCCCAACTCTTCCAGCCTCTCCTCATATGTCAGATGCTTCAGTCCCTTATTCACCTTAGCAGCATATTGCTGTATTTCACCTTCTCTCAAATCCAGACTCAGTTTCTGCCAGAATTTAAGATGCTCTTTCACTGCCAGATTGAGGGCATTTCTCAGGGCTCTCAAAGCTGGGAATATCAGGTGCCACCCCTCTGAGCACATCAGTGAAGGTAATAATGACCAGGTACTGTTCCAAGCACCATACTTCAAACCTTGCTGGGCACAACTTGATTTCACATTGCTTTCTTTCCTGCAGATTCAAGCGTAGCAACACCACATCTGACTCCAGTTCTTACTGTTTTATTTTGACTGTGACAGGATTGTCCAGACCAAAAGGAGGTTTCCTTTCACTACTGGGACAGTCTGCCATACTTCAGTACTTGAGTTCTGCACTGTCTTCTTTGTCTTAGTGTACCTCCTGTCCAGTCCAAAAAAAAAAAAAAAAAAAAAGAATTCCAGGCTCACTTTAGAAGAGTTTAAAACATAAATTAAATCTTTTTCAATGAAGAAGGTGGACAAGGGCAAAACTTGCTAGTACATTTATAGAATTCTGTATTGGATTAGGGACTGCTATTGATTTTCACTTAAGGGAGATTTTAAAGAGGAGCAAGAGAGTTTTGGGATCACTTACAAAAAAAATTCATTACATCCTGGAGTGGAAGTCATCAGAACCATTGCTACCTTTGCCAGCTTCTCAGATTTTCTGTATTATTGTGGCCTCTTCTCACCCAGGTCTTCCAGGAGAAAGTTGCTGTCTTAGGCAGTGCCACACATAGCATTCTGGTCTTGCTGTTGAAAAAATAACACGGCTTTTAGGTGGTGTTATTTTTTTTTCTTGTTCCTTAATAGGGCCGATATGACTTACCACATGGAGACATTCATTTGCAATTGTAACAACCTCCCCAAAGTCTGTATCTTTATTGAAGCCTGTAGCTCTATTGAAGGGTCACACATTTGGGATGCTTCCATTTTGTCCTAATGCATGGCATAAAAAAAAAGTGACAGTAGTTTGAAACAGCAAAATGAGGAAGTATATTAATCTTTTTTTTTGGTTATTTGGTTTTGGGGTTGGTTGTTTTTTTTTTTTTTCTTATTTACGTCACTTGTCCCAATTATGCAGGAAAATTTCAGTGAAGAGGTTTAATCCTAGCTATTTTCCTTTCTAAAAGCACTTATACTTCTCCAGCTGCTACTTTAAAGGTTGCACGAGCTTGGCATATATTATGATACTCAATTCAGCTGTCATACAAAAACATTTTGTTGTTCATTAGAAGTTTATTCAGGACTACTACGTGTAAAGCTGCTAGAATGCAACTGTCTACTTTGGAATTGTTTTCACTGAGTGCAATAATCTTTTTACAGGTGATTTTTCAGCTTCAATCAAAGAAGTGTATCATATGTCAGGAAGGTGATCATAGCATTATCCTGCATCCACATCAACATTATGTACTTTGTGATCACTGTGCAGCTGCACAAGAGGAATGTCCCTGCTGCCAGAAAAAAAAAAAACTGTGGTAACATACATGCATAGTACTCCTGTCATGTTTATGAATTAAGTAATTTTGTGGGTTTGTATTTTGTATAAGAATTATGTCACTCATAATTAATCAATTTAGTAATGCTAGACTGATTTCTATTTTGATGTAAGAAACTTAGTTGCTTTAAAATAGAGAATAAGGCCTGCTCACCTTTACACATCAACTTCAGTCATTCGATGAGGTTCTATAGTCTTGGGTTTTTTTCATTCCCCCTCAAACCCATTACAGCCTTTTCTGACTCACTTATATTCCTAGTGCACAAGCTACTTCGGTTCATTTGCATTGTAATCACTTTGTATAAATTTTTCCGTAATGCCTGAATGAAGTGTTTATACCTGTTTTTTTTTCAGTAACAGAAGATGGATACATAGATATGGTAACTACACACCCAACAGTACAAATGGTCCTTTTGCCATGTCTGTTGTGTGTGGAACACCAGAGCTAGTTTTTGGAATTGGTCTAACACTATGTTTACATGGATGTTTGAAAAACTCTAATTAAAATAAAAGCACATTTGAATTAATGTGTTTTGTTAGAAGATACGTTGTAAATTGCCTCAAGCTGCTTTCTAGGTCTTACGTTTATTTTTTAATATGCAGTAATATGATGTGTTATATGTGTACTGTGAGAATAAATATTTCACGTGGTTTTACTGTTAAATCACAATATGATTAAATAGTAATGACAATTTACATAGTTTTTTTTCAATTTATAAGTTAACTGTGTACTGTAGTATTTATAAATGTACCAGCAGAGACAAAACCAGATCAGTTCTAGTGAACAACTGTGTATTTGCATATTTCCCTCAGTTTGGATGTTTGTAGTCCTGAAGTGTTTGTGTATCTCCTAACTTGGGTGATACACATCAGGCGCAAATATGATGCATGTAATATTGCCAAGTGCCTATGCCCAATATCCTGTGAAATGACAGAAGACATAAAAAAATAATTTTGCAAATAATTTCTATTGCTTAATTTTGTATTAAACAATTTTACAATAACTAGACTAAATTTCTTGCTTTTAGCAAGTATTTTAAAGCACACTTTTTTTCAGAAATGAAATAATGCATGTTTGAGAGGAACTACAAAACTACTTAAGTATGTAGTCAAGCAGTGGCAGTTTGACACAGTGATTCCTTTAGAAGGTGATAATATCCTTACTTCATCCTGGTATTTGGGAGCATGCAATTCAGGGAGAGAAGGTAATTGATTACTGCATGTATATTTTTACTTTTCTTACCTGGAATAATTGCCTGCATTACTCTCTTCCCCCCCCCCCCCCCCCCCAGCCTATTAAATTCAGGTGTGGCACTGGTACAGCTTAGACTGAAATGACCTACTACTGTGTTACATGATTTGTATCTCCAGATTACTGTATTCAGTACAAAAAGTGAGTTCATACATGCAGCAAAGAGTTAATACATTTAAAGTTCAGTCATGTTAAAATAAGAAAACGTATACTGAAACTATTGTTGACAAAATAGAGCTTTTAGAACTGTGTCAGCATTAAATGAAGGGCCCAAGCCAGTATTACTGAAATCACTGTATCCTTTGGGTTTTAGCATTCTTTGCACAAAGGCTTGAGTTAACAAAAAATCATTATACGTTTTCTGTGAGAACTAAATGCACAGACATGTCACTGCTTTCCTAAAAGATGTCAATCTGCAGGAACATTGGAGACCTTTTGGGAAGGGACAAGTAGAGTAAAATACGAAATATACTTCTAGATGCTTCTGTTTCAGAATTTTGTCTGAAGATCACTTCAAAGAACAAAGTTGGATTTAATAATGGAGTTTTGTTGCTTTTAACAGTTTCTCTAAAATGTTGGACTGAGAAAAGTATAAAATTGGACAGTATTTGCATTTTCAAACACACTTTTCTGTCCTAAAGTAAAATAGTGATGTTTTAAAGTTATAGCCAGCTTTGGGCTTTCAGAAAAAGGAACTTGGAATATCAAGTTTGGCTGTAGATATTAATGGTTTGGGTTTGTTTTGGAGGCTTTTTTTTGCATCTGTGCAGTTTATGAACAAAGACTGGGTTTTGAACCTTAACAGCATTTTGGACTAAAGCAAACTTAGTTATGTCAGGTTTTGTTGTTTGGAGGGTTGTTTGTTTTTTTTTTTTTTTTTTCTTGAAGAATGATCAGATCAAAGAATAATATGCAATTATTGAAATTTGAAATTGAAAAAAAGTTGAAATTATGTTACACATTTTTCCAAAAAGCAGTTATTTTGGACACTGGTTTACTACATTTACCATGTGTGGAACAGCATTCTGCAGCCACTGTGCTCATGAAAGTGTTTAGAAATGTCTTAGTGGAAATTTTTGCTTTGGTATTTTAGAAGAAACCAGCTTAGGCCACATTGTGCTGCCCCTATGCAGCTAAATGACATTTGTTACCCATGATACAGAAGAGTGACTTTATGCTGTCTTGTGCAAGTTTATAGTTCTTCTTGTGTATTTTAGTGTATTTGTGTATGTTGTAGGGCTGGTTTTGGTTCCTGGGTATTTTTTTGGTAGTAACAGGCAATTTTCCTAATCTCGTGACACTAGCAAAAAAAGAATATGAACAGCACTAGCAGTGTGCATCATCACAGTCACGCTCAGTTAATACGTGCTTTGTTTTTAGAGGCAATGAGCTAATACGGTTAGTCTGTTGCTTTTTATGTTTTGTGTTTTACAGTGATGAATCTTGGAAATAATTATGTGTCCTATAATAATACCGGTACTGAAAATTTTACAGGTGATCCCTGCAAGTTTCTTTGGTTCTGAATTACAGACAAATTTAAGAATTACTATGAAACCATTTTTTGGAGAAGGAATAAACACATACCAAAGAAACATACCTATGTGTGAAATTCTCAGCCTGGGCAGCCTGCTGTAATTATAGACGAATCCTTAGGTAATCGTTTGAACCATACGTCATCATACACTGCAGTCATATGGAAATAATACAGTTGTTCTTCACAAAGTTACTTTTGTGAGGAATTGAAAACAAAATTTCTGTATCTTACTAAAGCAAGATAATTGTGAATACAAATACATACGTGACTTAAAATGGAGGATAACAAAACAGTCAACATACAGTTGACTAGTTGGCAACTACTTGGAAGAAGTCAAAAGAGAAACCCGACCCTTGTGAGTATTTGTCCTTATGCTGTATACACTATCTAGAAACAGATACATTAAAATTATATTTCAGTGACACTACAGTATAGTAACTTGCTGAATTCACAAAATGCATAAAAGCAGCTAAATAGATTTGCGAGATTCATTTTGGTATTTGACAAATTTCTGTCTAAATTTTTGTAAGAATATAAATTTTAATGTAATGCAATTATGTTGTCGCAATTATTTTAGACTGGGGAATAGTACATTAAAATTGTGATTTCTCAGGGGGTTTACAGTTAGGAGCTGTAATTTAAACAGAAGTATGCTAATTACAGGTAGATCCCAAGATGCATAGGAGAGACTTATTATTAGTCTTTGAATAGCAGATTATTAAAAACATACTGGTTTTGTTCTGTATCATTTTCAGAGATCCTAGTATTAAATATAGGTAGTAATATTATTGTCACACTATGCATATGTAACTGTGGTCATCATCAGACCCTACATAAATACAGAAGTTTTACTCATGTCAATTTATGGAAGCCATTAATGTTTTGAGTGTAAAGACAGAAATGATTTTGTGAATTAAATTGTTCTTAATACAAAACATTTTATTTATAATGAATGCGTATTTACTTGTAGTGAACTGTTTAAAACTGGTAACACTTGTTAAAACTTTTTTATGCTATAGCATTTATGGTTTACAGAAGTTATGGAATTATTTTTATTACCAACATGGAAATAAAATTTTTATTTTTATTTCTGAGCTACATGGTGTTTAGAGACTCAAAAATTTATAGATGTGTTTTCTTCTGCAGTCTCATTATGTCATTCCTAATCATTTCAGGGACTGGCATTTCCAGTGCATTCCAGTGAGGCTTTAAACAGAGGTAGTTTTAGGTGTTTAAGTGAGGATATCCATGTTCTTGGCACCATTCTGGAGGACACCCTGTGTAGAACCTGACCAGCTATTAGCTTTTGTCCTAACATGGACATTCACACTTACGGAGCTGGTTCATGGGGTGCCTGAGAGCGCTGCTCTGCAAGGTCGTACACAGATGGAGATATACGTGGCTAAGCAAGGGTGGATTGCTGTGTCTGTGGCACTGTGTCGGAGAGCACCACGTGTAGCTGATGGCCAGCACCAGCTTTCTGTCCTAACACATTAGGCTTAGGAGCAGGGTGTGGATATTGTCACCCAGGGAGCTATTTTCTGGGTCAGTGGAGAGTGCTGCCCAGTGTGACTTTACAGAGATGGAGCTTTAGGTGCGTAAGTAAGTGAGGATATACCTGTTGGGGGCACCATTCTGGAGGGCACCCTGTGTAGAACCTGACCAGGTATTTCTTTGTTGTGTTTACACATTAGGTTGAGGCACAGCGTCTGGACATTTGCATATAGGGAGCTGGTTTATGGGGTGGCTGAGAGCACTGCCCTGCGAGGTCATACACAGGTGGAGATTCATGTCATTAAGAGTGACACAATGGCAAGAGCTCTGAGCGGTGAGGATACATCAGAGGATGATGAGGAGACCTGCATTGGCCCATGCAGGAGGGCACTGCTTGGCACTGGTTGGTGGCAGTCACCTTGGGTGAAGAGACAGGACTTCGTTGGAACGCATGCCCAAGGAGAGGCCCCGTGCAGGTAAGGACACTGGGGACAGAGTGTAGGGTATTTGCAGGTTGTCCTGTTGGGAGGGATACAGGCAGTAGTTAGGGGGCGCAGGCAGTGGCCGGTTGGGAAGCGTAGGTGTCGAGTGACGTAGGTGTCAAGTTGGGTACCGCAGGTGTCAGGCTGGGTGCTTTAGGTGGCAATTGAGGAAGAGTAGGTGGCAATTTGGCTAGTGTAGGTGTTAGCTTGTATAACAGAGATGTTAGGTTGGGTAGTGTCAGTGTCGCTTTGGCTATTACAGGTGTCAGGTTGGATACTGCTGGTGGCACTTTGGGAGCCATTGGTGTTAGGTCAGGTAGTACAGGTGGCTCTTCGGGAACAATAGGTGTTAGCATGTGTAGCGTAGGTGGCACTTGAGGTATCAGAGGTGTTTGATTGGTTCTGGTAGGTGGCACTTTGGTACTATGGGTGTTAGATGTTAGGCTGGAAACCACATGTGGTTCTGTGGGTATAGCAGGTGTCAGGCTGAGTGGAGTAGGTGGCGCTTGAGGTGGTGTTAGATTGGAAATCATAGGTGTTAGGCTGGGTGCTGTTGGTGGCACTTTGGGTAGGTGTAGATGTTAGGTTGGATACTGTAGGTGGCACTTTGGGTACTATGGGTGTTAGGCTGGGTAGAGTAGGTGTCAGGGTGGGTAGTGTAGCTGGCACTTGGGGTATTGTAGGAGTCAGGCCTGGTAGCGTAGGTGACACTTTAGTGTACGTGGCACTTGAGGTCGTGTTAGGTTGGATATCATAGGTGTTAGTTGGGTAGTCTCAGTGTTACTTTGGGAACTGCAGGTGTTAAGTTAGGTATCGTAAGTGGTACTTAGGGAACCATAGGTGTCAGGTGGATATCATAGGTGATACTTTGGGTATCATAGGTGGCTCTTCAGGAACCATAGATGTTAGGTGGGTATCGTAGGTGGCACTTTGGGTACCACAGGTGTTAGGTTGGGTATCATAGGTGGCAATTTGGGTACCATAGGTGTTAGGTTGCATATTATAAGCTGTACCTAGGGAACAGTACGTGTTAGGTTGGGTATCAGAGGTGGCACTTAGGGAACCATAGGTGTTAGGTTCAGTATCATAGGTGGCATTTGGGGTACCTTAGGTGTTAGGTTGGGTATCATATGTGGCACTCTGGGAAGCATAGGTGTTAGGTTGGGTATCATAGGTGGCATTTAGGAAACCATAGGTGTTAGGTTGGGTATCATATGTGGCACTTTGCATACTACAGGTGTTAGGATGGGTATCATAGGTGGCAGTTGGGGACCATAGGTGTTAGGTTGGGTATCATAGGTGGCACTTTGGGTACCATAGGTGTTAGGCTAGGTATCATAAGTGGTACTTTGCATACTATAGGTGTTACGTTGGGTATCATAGATGGCACTTAGGGAACCACAGGTGTTAGGTGGGTATCATGGGTGGCACTTTGCATACTATAGGTCTTAGGAAGGTGTCCTGGGTTCAGCAGTAGCAGTCATGTTTTTTATGATAAGTGGTACTTAGGGAACCATAGGTGTTAGGTTGGGTATCATAGGTGGCACTTAGGGTACCGCAGGTGTTAGGCTGGGTATCATAGGTGGTACTTAGGGAACAATAGGTTTTAGTTTGGGTATGCTAAGTGGCACTTTGGGGAGTGTGGGTGTTAGGTTGTGTAGCATAGGTGGCATTTTGGGTATGCTCATGTGGCTGACGTAGAAGAGCTTTATTAGGCTGGTTATAGCAGAGACCTGAGTTGACAATAGATAGGGAACATAGGGGTAGGAGGAGTTAGGGTAGGAGGGAGGGTTTGGGGGGTGGGATGGTCGGGTGGGAGGGGGCGTGGGAGAGGAGGGGGGGTGGGAGGGCGGTGGGTAAAGGGGTGGGGGGGAGGGGGGGTTGCAGAGATTTGGGGGGGTGGGGAAGGGAGGACACTGACACACGCTTTCCTGTTTGAAAAAAAAAAAGCTTATTTACTTGCAGGGCTCCTCCCTTCCTAACTCCTAACCCCCCAAGCCCTCACCCCTCCCAAACCCCCACCCACCGAACTCCTCCCTTATCTCTCTCCCATAGGGACAGCGACGCCCTTTGGCCACCATTGGGACTGCACGGGGACACCTACTCTATCTCTCCTATAGGTACAGCGACGCCCTGTGGCCATCATGGGGACTGCATGGGAGAGCCCACTGGGACCTCACTGAGGATGGCAATGGGGTGAGGGATGGGGACGTCAATGGGGACAGGGATGGGGTCACCCCATAGGATACCCATAGGGCCTATAGGGACCCCATGGGGACAATGGGGGGTCATCTGCCACGGTGACCTCCTTGGTCTTGACGCAGGTGACATCAATCTCCTGCGCAAAGTCCCTGAGCGCCAGCCTCAGGTCCTCATACGTCAGTGGGTCAATGTAGAGCTTCCCCTCTGCCACCAGCACCCAGTGGCACCCAGAGACATCCCACGTGTCAGTGAGGTGTCTATGGGTGTCAGTGGGTATCCATAACTGTCAATAGCAGTCAATAAATGTCAGTGGGTGTCAAGACGTGGCAGTGGCAGTCAGCAGATGTCAGTGGGTGTCAGTGGATGTCAGCGGATGTCCATGGGTGTCAAGAGATGTCAGTGGGTGTCAGTGGATGTCAATGGGTGCCAATGGATGTCAATAAATGTCAATGGGTGTCAGTTGGTATCCATGGGTGTCAATGGATGTCAATGGGTGTCAATAACTGTCAGTGGCAGTCAACGGATGTCAACAGAAGTCAATGGATGTCAGTGGGTGTCAGTGGGTGTCAAAAACTGTCAGTGGATGTCCATATATGTCAGTGGGTATCAATGGATGTCAACAGATGTCAGTGGGTGTCCATGGGTGTCAGTGGGTGACTCACCGTGCCCTGTGCCAGTGCCCCGTCTGTTCTTCCATGTCCTCCTTGTGCCTGAGGCTGCGGTGCCTGAAGCAGGGGCACAAAGGACACAAGTGACTCAGTGACACCCCCCAGTCAGCCCCACAGCCCCCATAGCCCCCTGTGCTCCTCTCACCTGAGGCAGAGCAGGGTCCCTGCCAGCAGGGCCAGCAGCAAGAGCCCCCCCAGCACCGCGGCTCTGGCCATGAGCCCCCCCTGCCCTGAGCGGGCCCCCTTTGGGGGGGAGGGAGCATGGGGAGGGCCCATGGGGGCCCAAAGAAGGGATGGGGGTGTTGTGTGTGTGTGTGTGTGGGGGGGGGGGGTTCAATGGGGATTATGGGGGTCCCAGTGGGTATTAGGGGGGGTCCCAAAGGGGTCATGGGGGGGTTTAGGGAGTCCCAGCAGGGGTGATGGGGGGATCCCAGAGGTGGTTATGGGGGCACTGGGGGGGGGGTTATGGGGGTCCCACAGGGGCCCAATGGGGTCATGGGGGCATCATGAGGGTTCCAGAGGGGTCATGGGGGTCCCACAGGAGCCCGAAAGGGGTGTGGGGGACTCGGGGGGGCCCTGGGGGGTTTATGGGTGTCCCAGGGCAGGGGGTGTCCCAGGGGGTTACAAGGGACCCAAAGGACTCATGGGGGGCCCTGGGTTCCCAGGGGGGTCCCAGGGGGTTACAAAGAGGTGTCATGGGGGGGCCCCAGGGGGGTTACAAGGAAGTGTCAATGGGGTGGTCCCAGGGGGTTACAAAGAGGTGTCAATGAGGGGTCCTGAGGAGGGGGTCCTCACCAGTGCCCTGGGTGCTCACAGCCGTCTCAGGCCTGAAGTCCCCATACCTGGCCTCAGAGTGGGCTCGGACCCGCACCCCATAGAGCCCCCCACAGCACAGCTCCCCTCAGCTCCGCCCGCACCGACGGCACCTTCAGGAACATGGGGGGGCCCTTGCCCCCTCCCCACCTGCGGATGCCGGAAAACGCCAGGCCCCATTGAATCACATTGACCTCAGTGCCCCCATTACCCCCATTGCTGCCAGTGCCCCCATTGCCCATATTACCCACGTCGCCCCATCACACGCATTACCCACATCTCTCCCATTGCCCCCATTACCCCCATTGCTCCAATGCCCCCATTAACTCCATTGCCCCAGTGACCCCATTGCCTCCAATGCCCCCATTACCCCCATTGCCTCCAATGCCCCCTTTGCCCCCATTGCCCCATTACCCCCATCACTGCCATCGCTCCATTGCCCCCAGTGACCCCATTGCTCCCAGTGCCCCGTTGCCCATTCAACTCCATCTCTGCCTTTCCCTGCCCTCAACCTTCTCATAGTATTTGACCTCGTAGTCCAGGACATGCCCCCCCAAGGGGGGTGGGGGTGGTGTCGGCCATGCCAGCGTCATCCCAGTGGGGGAGGCCCTGACCACCACCACGTCCACTACTGGCAATGGCACTGGGGTGGGGTGGGATGGTAGGGGGGAGGGGGGCTATTGGGGTTGCTTCAGGTCGTTTCGGGGTTACTATCGGTCATTGGGGTCACTTGGGGGTCACACTGGGGTTACTTTAGGTCATTGGGGTCACTTGGGGGTCACATTGGGGTTACTTCAGGTCATTGGGGTCACTTGGGGTCATTTGGGCTGCTTGGGGTTACTTGGGGTCATTCCTCCTGATTTTGAGGGACCCGGGGTTACTTCAGGTCAGGCCGGGGTTACTTTAGGTCAAGTGACGTCATTTTCACGGCCATTTTGGGGTTACTTCAGGTCACTTCGGGGTTACTCGAGGTCACTTTGGGGTTACTCAGGGTCATTTTGGGCACATTGGGGTTACTTGAGGTCACTTTGGGGTTACTTTGGGTCATTTTGGGCACATTGGGGTTACTTGAGGTCACTTTGGGGTTACTTTGGGTCATTTTGGTCTGCTTGGGGTTACTTTGGGTCATTTTGGTCTGTATGGGGTGGCTTTAGGTCATTTTGAGTGATTTTGGGCAGTTTTGAGTGACAGGGCCGTTTTGAGTTGTTTTGGGGCAGTTTGGGACACTTTGGGGTTACTTTGTATCAGTTTAGGGTCACTTTGGTTCGTTTTGTGGGGAGTGTCCACTTGGGTCCTTTTGGGTGACCTGGGGCACTTTGGGTCACATCAGATCATTTTGGGTCTCTTCGGGTCACTCTGGGTGAGTTCAGGTCAGGTTCGGATCCATTCGGGTCAGTCCGGGTCGGTTCCAGTCAGTCCGGATCCGTTTAGGTCCATTCGGATCAGTCCGGGTCCGTTCAGATCCATTCCGGTCAGTCCGGGTCCATTCGGATCCGTTCAGGTGCGTTCCGGTCAGTCCGGGTCCGCCCCGGTGGAGATAGAGGCGGGGAGGCGGAGCGGCTCCGGGCGCGGCTCGCTGCTGCCATCTTGTGTCGAAATCCCGGTACTGATGGGAGGGGGGGGCCGCGCTTTGGCCCCGGGCACCGCCCGCTGCTCCCCTCCCTGTCGAAAATTCAGCACCGCAGCGGGCGGTGATGGGGGGAAAGCGGCTGGGGGCCGCTTTCCGGTGCTACCGTGTGTGCAAACCGCGGCACTGCGCGTGGGGAAGCAGAGGAAAGGCGCCGGGAGACGATCGGTGCTGCGATCACGTGGCCAATATTCGGCTCGGCACGGGGCGTAGAAAAGAGGCTGCACTTGTGGCGATGAACCAATCAGAGCGGCGGGAGGGCCGAGCTACGAGTGATTGACGGGAGTCTCAGCCAATGGAGGCCCCGGGGTGGTGCTGGCAAAACAGAAGAGGGGCGCGGAAAGGCGTGATTGACGGGCGATACAGCCAATGGTGGCCGGGGGTGAAACAAACCGTCAGAAGGGCGGGGCTAAAAGCGACTGACGGGCTCTCCAGCCCGTTTTACCCGTTTCTCACTAGCTTTAAGCCATTTTTGGCTATTTCTGAACAGTTCCTTGCCATTTCTAGCCTGTTTTAAGCTTTTCTTAGCTATTTCTAAACTGACTTGGCCTATTTCTAACCCTTTTTTTGCCAAGTTCTAAGTCTTTTTAAGCCCTTTCGACCATTTCCAAACCGTTTTTGTCCTGTTCTTACCGATTTCTTCCCATTTCTAACCCGTTTTTGCCCTTTCCCAACCTGGTTTAAACCATTTTTGGCCCTTTCTAACCCATCTGAAGTCTTTTTTGGCTGTTTCTGAACAATTGCTGGTCATTCCTATCTTATTTTTGCCCATTTCTTACCAGTTTTAAGACTATTTTGGCTGTTTCTAACCCATTTTTCCCATTCCTAACCCATTTTAAGTCTTTTTTTTGTCTATTTCTAAACAATTGATGGCCCTTCATAATCCTTTTCGCCCACTTCTTACCAGTTTTAAGTTATTTTTGGCTATTTCTGAACAGTTCCTTGCCATTTCTAGCCTGTTTTAAGCTTTTCTTAGCTATTTATAAACTAGTTTAGGCTATTTCTAGCTTTTTTTTTTTTCTCCGTTCTTAGTCTTTTTAAGCCATTTTTGGGCATTCCCAAACCCTTTTTTGTCCTGTTCTTACCAATTTCTTGCAATTTCTAACCCATTTTTGCCCTTTCCTAACTTGGTTTGAACCATTTTTGGCCATTTCTAACCCATTTTTGCCTATTTCTAACCCATTTTAAGTATTTTTTTTTGCTATTTCTAAGAAAATTATCTCCATTTCTATCCTATTTTATGCCCATTTCTTACCAATTTTAAGCCTTTTTTTGCTATTTCTTATCCATTTTTGCCCATTTGTACCCC